ATAATACAGGATTATAATCTATATATAAAGAAAAGATATATCTGCTATTTGAGTATATATTTAGATATTTCATTCTTATAATCGCTATTGGACCATATATGGATTAACTAAGATTCTATATAAATCTTTTAATCTATTTATAATTTCTTCTTGATTAATATTTATAAGGCCCATTTAGTAATAGCTTTGTAATATGGTAATAGATTTATTAAAAGTCATAGTATTATTTTAATAAGAATTAAGTTCAGGGTATGTTTTATTATCGTAATATACTTTCTAGTAATATAAGCGCTAAAAAACTCGAGTAATATTACCCCCACGTGATTTTGTTAATTAATTACAAAAAAAACTAATTAATTTAGCCCTCTTAGTTATTTTTATTAGTTTTAGTTATATTTATATTATTATCTATATTAAATATTATTAACTATATTAATAGTATAAAAAGGTAAGGTAGCCTCCTTGTTATTATATACCAAAATTTATTATTATAATACTCTTCTATTTTTAATCTTATCAGAAGCTAATTTTTTGCCGTAGTTAGTAATTATACTATTAATTTAATTTTTATATATTCAATAAATTATTGTTATATAAATTAACTAATAATCAGTCTGTCTTAAATTTAAATATTATTTAAGTCGGAAGTTCGAAATTATTGTTCTTTATTACAACCTAAGTAATGTATATATGGAAGTACCCTTATCTAGTTGAATTTTGCCTGAATGTATGCTAATATCAATTATGTTTTATTAATTAATCTTACGATTTATTATTTTTGTGTAGGCTAGTTAGCTCTTCCCTTAAGTGTAGGTATAATACTAAAAGAGAACGAGAATTAGAAAATTATTTAAATATTTAATGCTACATGTGTTTCCTCTTTCGATTATTTTCAAGTCACTATCGTTTTGTATAGGTCTATCAGTTAGATAAGAGTATAGATATTATGAGTTTGTATAATGAGAGTGGATAAAGTATTTATGTATAAATGAATGACTACAGACATTCCTTTCTCAAATGGTATTTTGTTATTGTAATTGTTATATATTCTATAATCGATGGAGTTATTGAATTTTTCAAGACCAGGTACTCTTATGATTGTATTGGAAAGTACCTCGTGATTTTTAATTCTCATTATTCTTAGCCAAATCTATACTGTCGTTAGTGTTTTTTATACTGTATTTTGGTTATAATGATCATCTTTTTTATGGCTTTCTGCTTCTAATTATATCCTTAATTGTTTGTCCAAAAGTTATCTACTATTGGCTAATTGCCTATTTGTAAAAGCAATGGTGCCTTCCTACACCTGTGGGTCTGTGCTTTAGACTATTCCTTGTTGCTCAATTTATACTCTTGTAAATGTATTTTTATCCACAATGTCATGTTCTGGTCAATTATCCGTTATATTTTTTATTATTCTCAGAATATAGTATAAGTTTATTTAGCTTTAATTCTATAGATAAACAAGAAGATTAGCTAAAATATTTACTTTATTTACTTTGTATATTATAATAACTGATAACACTTCCTAAACTCTTATTAAAAGTTTTATTAATAGTTTATTTTAATAAAATTTTTTTAAAAAGAATTATATATTTTAAAATCAAAAATTAATAATTAGAAATAAAAGTGGCGAATATGTACTAAACACACTCTACTATATAGTATGGCGTACTAGTAGTATATATTCTCTTGCATCTTTGGGAGTAGTAGGGTGTATATAGGAAACGTAGGTTAGATTGTAATTTGTAAGAAGGTGTATAGGGAATGTGAATATGGATATATTAGTAATATTAAGTCCTAATTCCTAATCTATAAGCCTAATATTTCTATTTGAGCTATGTCAGACTGTTATTGTTAGATGAACGTTAAATATATATAACTATTATATAACTTCCTAAAATAGAATGATCTTATTAGCTAATATTTATTTTAAAAGCAATGTCCTATTTTGAATTCTGCTATTATTATATATATGTATACGAAGTATATTATCAGAAAAATAATATTTAGTATAATAATAAAATCATTCAGATCCCACACCTCCATTCATTCTTGTCGTTATAATTCATCTACTGAGATATACTATGTTATGTATTATGTATTCTAACTATCTACTCTGGCATAAGCTAGCTATAGTGTAGGGAGTCCTCGTAAGTGATATAGATACAATGTATAAAATAAATTCTTTTAAAAAAATTAAGATTATATATATTATTCTTTTATAATTATATATGATATTATAACTTAACCTTATAAGTATATCTAGCTCATTGAGAGGAACTGACGACAGGCTAGTGAAGTGAGTCGTGAATAATTAGGTATTATTATAATTAGTAACTGAAGTATTATAAATTACGTATACTCTCTTAACATGTGCTAAATATTAACTTTATTAACTCAATCTTTTTCATGAATGATTAATATAAAGATTATACCGGGGAAGAAGAGTATAAGTATATATAATAGTGAGTATAATGATAAACTAAAATCGCTACAATATATGATTTAGGTCCCTTTACCAGTTCTAACTCTTTATTTTTGGTTTTAAACTATGCTGATAAATTTTTTAGTAAAACAAAAAATTCTCTTATTAGAATAATATAAGACATATAATAAAAACTTGTTAACAATTAAAATATATATTTTATTATTCACAACATGTAATCATATAATATTAATTAAATAAATTCAATATTTTAGTCTAAGATGTTGTTGTTCTGTTATATGTAACTATGATTAAATTCTATAAATTACTTATTCCGCGTATAAAGGATCGGAGGTATATTAATAAATAAAATATCTACATAATATAATTTGATTTATAATAAATATATATTAAAATAATAAAAACTTATCTATATTATTCATGAGAGTTTTTTTTTTTTTTTTTTTTTTTTTGGGGGGGGGGGAGGAGGGGTTCCGTCTTAAGGATTAATCCCCATATCGTGGGTGTGCACTGAAAGCCGAACCTATTGCGTTGTTATCATTCCGACGAACGAACAGATTAATTGCTTCACTCTCGGGTATGATGGCGCACTTTAGCATGGTTTTAACCCGGCCCATCATATTATATTTTAACTCATAAATAATGTTTAATGATATCAGTCCACCGATGTCCGATATTCGGGAAGATCCTATTATGATAATTATCCCAGATTATTGAAGGAATTATAAGGGCTCTAATCTTTATTCTTTTAATTTGATAATTTTATTGATTCTTCGGCAGGTGTGCGGGGCGCCAGTGCGAAAATCAGAAAATCAGAAAATCACTTTTCGCTTCTCGGATTTGTCCGCTAGCTAGCTGTGGGCCTCAGTAGTAGTACGAGCGAGGGGAGAAGGCGAGAGTGGAGTATTTATAGAACTGAATGCTACAGGCGTCTTTCAGGATATTCAAGGGAAGAGAGAATAAGGGAGTCAAGGGCCCCCGCCGGCTGCGACAATTCAAGTCTAATTCACACAGACATCTTGTCAGTGTGTTCTGTAAAGTGAATGTTAAATTCCTTCCGAAGATCGGAGTCACAGTTGGCAGACACGAAATGAGTGTAGGAAGAACCTCGTATTGCAATTTATTTCTAGCAAAGTATATGCTAGTGTCTTTATACTGACTCGGCTTATTGACATCAAAGCTTTCCCCTCAAATTAAAGCTCAATGGTTGCCAGTTATCCTTTGCTTGCATATGTGAAACCAATGTGCCCTTCTACACCTGTGGCTGTGCCTTTGACATTCTTCCTCAACCCATACCCTGTTGTATTTGACCACAAGTGCCCAGGTCTGTCAAAATCCGCTCGTCAGTCCTTTTTGTCTACAAGCAAGTCATCAGATAACTTACCAAAGTTGGTGATTGAGTGAGACGAAGCATCCAAAGCAAGCAGACCAGTTGAATGAAGAAGTTCAATCTTTCCACCCATCTTCAGCAGTTGATGAACGGTCCGGGAGCACTTCTGCAGAGACCACTACAGGTCTTGACCAATCCATGGCTGGCGCAGTCAAGCTATTCAAGTCAGCAATCTGACCCTCTGCCATTCGTTGCGTAGCAAATAGAAAGACTCACCACGGCATCATGGCCATCCCAGCTACCGCAGTACTGGCAGCCCGAAATGGGGAGAAAGCAGGGTTGGGGTAGGATTTCGCACCATGCTCCGGGATCGAAGGGGGCGGCCTCGACGAGAGAGATTGAGAGGAAGAGGCTGGCGACCAAGGAGGTGGTGAGAGTTGAGAAGCGCATCTTGGCAGTGTTTTGGTTGAGGTGCTTGGTTCGGGTGTTTAATGGAGGTGTTGTGGGAGTTGATGGATTAAGGAGAGGGATGATGGTTGTGATGAACGTTGTTGGAAGTTAGACGAAGAAGGGACTGTAGTAGGGAATTTATGATCGGAGAGGCTTTGTTTGTGTGTCACGGGGACTCGTTTACTTGGGCTCAGTGTTGTTGAGCTTTTCACCACAGTTCTCTTGCCTTGTTTTTCTAATTCACTTGCTAGCATACAGTCCAAGAGTTCCTCTTCTCAAAGAGCTTTGCTACCACCACGAAGACTAGTCCCTTTCCTCCAATAATTAGCAATCAAAGACCACTCACTTTCCCTTCCAGGTTCTTTTTCTTCGAATATTCCCTCGATCTATGGCACTTCCAATGTCTTCTCCCCTCGATTTCCCCCAAAGTTCTAGAACATTTAAACATCGTCTCCTTTTAAGGTCCAACGATGACTGTGGACAACGAGCAGTGTCAGGAAAGGCTAATAATAATAATAAGGTCACGTGACCAACCCCCTTTTTGACAGTGGACTCCAGGCCTTCTTCGTCCACTGCCGAGGCACGCATTAAGACTTTCAAAAAACGACGAGGCCACCCACGAGGCTGTACTTTGTTCATCATGAAGGGAATTTGGTAATGAAATCAGATATAACGAGCGTTTTTTAATGTCAAATATACTGCATTATTGTGCTATATCATCACCGCCACCCATGTCAATTTGGGCATGTTTATGTGCTCGCAGCTTCGCAATTAAAAATCATTCTGAGCCATCCTTTCATCAAAGACCTTGAGAGCTTCCTCAGCAGCTTTGACGCCGGACAAAGCCATGGCCCCGAAGGTAGGTCCCATGCGATTTGCACCATCGACCTCGCTCAACTCCATGCCTCCAACGATGAGACCTGGGATAATCTCACGAGTTCCCTTGACAATTGCGTCCTCGGCAGTGTTCATGTCCAGACCACGCATGCCACCGAGCTTCTCAATCTGCTGCATGGATACGAGACGTTTGACGCTGAAGGCACCGAAAGGTCCATCGTGCCCTGTGGTGGAGATAACAATGGGAGCGTTGATAGTGTTCGGGTCCATGCAGGACTGGTCGTCGTGGTGCATGGTGACGAGAGTCCAGTTTGTGACTACGCCGGCGATGCGGAGTGTGCCGTTGGCGTTGGAGCGAGTGATGAGATCCTCCACTGCGGTGGCGTTGAAGAGTTTGATGTTGGGGAAGGAGAGAACTTTAGAGAGTAGAGTGGAGGTGAAGAGTGCCTAGTGAATGAAAATTAGCTTTGAAATTATAGAAAGTGGTGAGAAAATGGGGACATACGGCATGCTTCACAACCACAAAGTCTCCCTCGTCCTCGAATGGGACACCAAGATCGGCCAAGAAAGCATCCGCTGGCTTACGCATAACCATGGCGCTGAAGAGCTGGCCACCAAGCCAAGCACCGCCTCCTGGAGAAACGGAAGCCTCAATGATGGCAATCTTGAGGTCAGGGCGAGCCTTGCCGAGCATGTAGGCGGTGCTGAGCCCACAGGATCCAGCGCCAACGATGACAATGTCGGACTCGGCGTATGTATCGAGATCGTTGAAGTAACGACGAGTCATTGCACGACTGACCTGAGACTCTCTAATGGGTGCAAACTTGAAACCTTGCTCCCATTTTTCGGCCAGTTCCTCGAGGGTCTTGGACTTGGATCCATTGATTGGGAATGGCTTCGACTCAAATCCGGATTTCAATGGAACGCTGTCAATTGGAGCGGCTTGCTCGAAGATTGTTGCTGATGGTGCCATTTTGTTTGAAGTTTGGGATCAAGGAATTCACCTGCTGTGGGTTAGAGCTGTCTCTCGGTGGGAGTCAGGGGGAAGCATGATCCTTTCGCAGGTATTATCCTGATCAAGTTGAACCGTATAATCTCAGAACGAACCCGGCTTGTGTCGACGTGCCAATCATCTCATCCGTTAGGATGGAGGATGAGAGGCTATGAAGACGCCGGGAACGAACACCGGTTCATGCATTTTACGATGTATGAAATACCTTGATCCACTCAGGGATAATTCCATTGTCTGGACGTCATGACTCCCTCATTCACAAGAGTGGGTAGTACTTTATGTTTGTTTCTGTGAAGTACCTTGTGTTAGCATTTGTGCTTTGGGTACATTGGGAAGCTGTACAGACCGTGAGGTTTTGTTTGGTATGTTTTCAAAAATGAATAAAGATGAGGATGAGAAAAGAGACTCATGTGGGGTGACTTGGTCTATATAATCTGAGAAAGGAGGGGTAGCTCTTAGTGCTAGGCCAAACATGCAGGAGCCATGCGCATGAGACTTTGCCATCTGCCAAGAGCAAATGACTAAGCTATCGAGGGATGCTGATTGACTGCAACAGAGCTCAACCCGTCGTTGATCAGCTGTTGCACTATCCAGAATTAAGCCATGTTTGGCAAAGATGTGGAGAATCATTGAACTCGATTGGATGTAGGCAAAGCGACATCGGGGACGAAACTTGACTACTGCAGCCAATTTAACCGGCATGACACTTGCCGGAGCTCTCGGAGACAGAAGAAAATTTTCGAATACCGGTAGGATAGGGGTCTGTACGTCGCTAGTGAAATCGGTTTCCGCCCTGAACACTCTGATTTTATGCTAAGCCATAATATCTGTTGTGGCGGGGTCACGTGCCGCCAAGCGAGGCGGGATAATTTCTGAGTTTTGGCCAGCTGCAAACTTAGTTCTTCAGCCAATTGCACTACTTTTTGCTCCCTCCATTTTTATGGTTGTAACCTGCCCTTTGACATGTATCATTCTGGCTAGGTACTTTTATCCCTGTAGAAGCTGACTTCACAGGAAGCGAGGGCGCAAAGGCGGGTTATCACATATTAGCAAGTAAACCACTTCCTATCTGAGAGTTATATGCTTTAATAGTACACCCTCAGCTTACTTATAGAATATTCTGGAGGCCCGAATTGTACCTTCCCTTTGCCGTTTTACTCAGCTATGGTAGGCGTTTTCGGGGGTAGGCATTCGTAATCTGATGCTTGAAACATGTATAGAGGTATTTTTCACCAAGAAACTAAACACAGAGTGGCTTAAAGCGGCATTGGGGGCGCACAAAATTATCGGTTAAACTGGATTCTTACTAAGCAGACTGGGATGTGCACCAGTGATTCACCAGTGATGCATTTTCTCATCCGCTCTGGATTGTCTCAGGGCAGGCTCCGTTATTCCCTCTGATCTGTCGATCTTCGCACACCTAAAGATACGAGACTCCATTACTTCTCCCCCGAACACAGGTCTCTAACTCTAGCGAGAGCCACATACATACGCGATGCCAGTCATCGAGCCTTTGTGTGATTTCTGTATCAGGGTTCCCCTGGACCCGCAGAAGCTTTCGGTCACGTCGACATTCACCCTTGGTTCTTTGTCGTGGATCAAGGATAGTCGCTGTCCTTTCTGCAGAGTGCTCAACCTTGCGTATTATGAGGGTTATAGGGGACGATCAAGAATTTCACGCAATACGGAACAGATCATCCTGCGCTGGGCTGCTGCCTCCGGTCCCGGCAACCGAGGTGCCTTCTTTGCGAGTAGCTGGATCTGCTTCGCTGGGAAATCCGATACTAATACCTTCGTTGACGACGCCTACTTTCTTCGATCACTATTGCACTCTGATCTAGACATCTCCAGAATCGCCCGTTGGATATCTTCCTGTGAAACGGTACATTCCGGTAACTGTGTCTTGAAGGCACCCAAAGCTTTTAGAGATGCATTTACTGGGCTGAATGTCATGCGGCTTATTGATGTTTACCAGAATTGTCTCGTTGAAGTACAAGATCTGCGTCAATATGTTGCTCTTAGCTATATATGGGGTGCTGTGCCCAATTTCAGGCTTACTACGTCTAATAGGAATCAATTACTCCTTCAAGGTAGTATTGATAAAATCTGGGAGATGATTCCGAGAACGATTCAAGACGCGATTACCCTTGTTCGGAAGCTTGAACTTCGTTACTTATGGGTGGGTGCCTTATGTCTCTTGCAAAATGATTGGCAAGATCTCGATCGAGGCGTAAACGTCATGGATCAGGTGTATGAGCGATCCTGGTTTACAATTATAGCTGCCTGTGGGCACGATGCGGACGCAGGCCTCCCAGGAGTACAAGAAAGGAGCCGAAAGATGTCCAAGCTCACCCTGGAGGTAAATGAAGAAGTATCTCTTGGAGTGTATACTGGCATAGACCAATTGGTCAAGGGAACTGTGTACAATTCAAGAGCCTGGACGTAGGTGCATTCCATGCTATGGAAGTTGCGATTTTGAACTTATTCATATACACAGTTTCCAAGAGCATGTTTTATGTCGAAGGGCTCTATACTTCGTCGATAACAAGGTCTTCTTCCGCTGCTCAGAAGCAGAGTACTCGGAGTCATGCCTCGACCAGTCACGTCCACAGCGGCCATTTGTAAACCATTCGTCGTTACTCCCGAAAGCTGTGTATATGGAGAATCCCGCAGAAGACTACTCTATCTTCCTCTTATACTACTCCATGCGGGCATTAACAAACCAGGGCGATGTACTGCGCGCGATGGCGGGCATTATACGACGACTTTCGGAAAAAGCAAAGTACAGATTCTTCGAGGGCTTGCCAACAGCGGTGCTGGACGCATTTCTCATATTCGAAGCTCACGGCACCAATCTTCAACGCCGAAGCGGCTTCCCAAGCTACTCCTGGACCGGCTGGCGTGGTAGGATAAATATTGACACTCCCAGCGGGATGAACGAATGGCTGGCGTCACGGACTTGGATCATTTGGTATAAGAGAAGCCCTTCTGGCATAACAAATCTCGTATGGGATCCCTCCGCGAACGAGTCATTCCCAATACACGCCAAAACATATCACGGGTACCGAGAAAGACAACATTTCGAGTCACTAGTTCCACTTAGTTTTGCAACGTTGCGTACTGCTCCAACACAAGACTTGTCTTCCTCTATCCCGGCCTCGCCATACCCGCTCCTTCAGTTCTGGACTCTCACGGTCTTCTACAGGATTGCGGAAATAAACGTTTTCACTGCAAAGTGCCGTCTTGTTGGTGAAGACGGAATTAATTGCGGCAACATGTCACTCGACGGCTCTGAAGAAACAACTCTCTTTGATTCCGTAGAGCCGCTCGAGACTATTCTTTTGTCTGAGTCGGAAGGGCGACGGGAGTATTACAATGTAATGCTTCTAGAATGGAATGGGGGGGTTGCGGAGCGAAGGGGTATCGGCACCATCTTGCAATCGGCGATTAACAATAGCTTCTCGCCTGGCCCTTTGTGGAAGGAGATTTTGTTAGGGTAAAAGAATAAAAGGTGATTAACAACAGGATTTAGTAATTAATAAGATAATTAGATTGAAGGTATTTTGATTATGAAATATGTGTACGCCCTATGCCATACGAGGCGTGAACTACTTTTAGATAAGTGGAAAATTTATTGTGTATTACTGAAAGACTTTACGTGTTCTAGTCGGAATTCATGGCCGACACCTTAGTATTAGGGAGGCGGCTCTTCGGGGACGAAAAAAGTGGCTGATATTGGTCCGTGCCCACCGAAACAACACATTACTTTCAGGCTCAAAGAACAACTATAAAACTTGATTGAAATTTCCAAAAATTAATAGAAAGACAGTTTGGCTTCTTAAGAGTACCAAAAATCAAGTTTTAGATAATTGAATCAAGTTTTGTGGAAGTTTTGATATTACTAAAGTAAGGGTCTCTGGCGAGAAGCACGGGCCAAAACCGGCCACTTTTTTCGTCCCCGAAGAGGGCGGAAGCAGGGACAGCCTAAGCTAGCCATAATAGTGCTAGTGCAGCAGCGATTTCGCTAGTGACTGGAGCATTTGGAGTGCTGATCAAGCGGGACGTGATTGCAGCGAAGGAAGTTGGAGAGATGGAGTGGATGAAGGAGGAAGGACAGGGCCAAGAGACTCCTCGCAGCTTCTGGAAGGAGAACTCCTCGAGGAAACTATCGAGAACTCACCCCTTCCCTGCTCTTGAAATATCCGAAAAACAAATTGGTGAAGTAAATCGAAGAACAACCCATCCTCAACACACTAGAACATAAAAGAGATGTTTCAATTTCGCAAAAGGGGTCAAAGTGCATTGGTTATCACGTGCCGTATCCTTCTCGAGGAATCCACGCGTAAGCTTCGCGTTTTTACTGCTCTCAAAGCATCATCAAACCACAACGCATTGAAGCATCAGCAATGTCTCGCAGAACGACCCGCAAGATCGATTACACGGAATTGGACGAAGAAATCATCGAGACGGCCGTCGTCCCGGTTTCCACGCCCAAAAAAGTTCGTAAAGCAGTGACGGTTGTGTCCACTGAAGTGGTCACCCAAGCCGAGAAGACGACACCTACAAAAGGCTACAAAAAAGTTAAGGCAGAAGCCGACTCGGAGGAGGAAGATACCGCAGCGCCTGCGAAGTCTCCAGCAAAGGCCAAGGTCAACAAAGTGAAGGCCAAGACTGCCCTCGAGGGAGATCCAGCATCGAAACCAAAGAAGGCCCCTGCGAAACGCAAGGCCAAAACAGAGGACGACGACGAGGAGGAGGGAGCCGACGACAATAAGGTCAAGAAGAAGAGGAAGACAAAGGAAGAAAAGGAAGCTGAAGCAATGCCGCTCGCTGAAAGGACCGCGATTGGAGCTCTGAAGAAAGCTATGCACATCGGGGCTCATGTCAGTGCGGCTGGTGGTGAGTACTCTGTCACACTGCATTGTCCGATCAGTCCCTAATGTGCCGCAGGTGTACAAAATTCTATAAACAATTCCCTTCAAATCGGTGGAAACTCCTTCGCTCTGTTTCTCAAATCACAGCGTAAATGGGCCAGCCCTCCCCTCGCCCCCGAAGCTCGCGACCAATTCAAAGCATTCTGCGCAGAGCACAAATACGATGCTGGAAAGCATGTCCTTCCACACGGCTCATATCTTGTCAATCTTGCCCAAGCCGAACCTGAGAAGGCCGATCAAGCATATACGTGTTTCGTGGATGATCTCCAAAGATGTGAGGCACTAGGTATTAAACTTTACAACTTTCATCCCGGCAACACAGGGAAGAACCCACGTCCGGAGGCCATTGCACGAATTGCTGCCCAGCTAAATAAAGCACATAAGGCAACTAAGACTGTGGTTACAGTGCTCGAGAACATGGCTGGGGGTGGAAATGTGATTGGTTCCACATGGGAGGATCTTCGGGACATCATTGCTCTCATCGAGGACAAATCGCGTGTCGGTGTTTGTATCGACACCTGCCACACTTTCGCCGCAGGGTACGATCTGAGGTCACCCGAGGTATTCAAGAAAACGATGGACAACTTTTCAGCCGTGGTTGGGATGCCATATCTGAAAGCTCTCCATCTCAATGATAGCAAAGCTCCATTTGCATCACATCGGGATCTGCACGCGAATATCGGAACTGGATTTCTTGGACTGAGAGCCTTTCACAATGTTCTAAATTTCACCCCTTTCCAAGATCTTCCAATGGTTCTCGAGACACCTATCGAGAAGAAGGGCACAGATGGCAAGGTTGTCGAGGACAAATCAGTGTGGGCCACAGAGATCAAACTTCTGGAAGGCCTCATTGGTGCAGATCCGGATACTGAGAATTTCAAAACAGAGGAACAACGCCTGCAAGATTTGGGGGCCGAGGAGCGGAAGAAGTTTCAAGGTCAGGCGGACAAGAAACAGCAAAAGACCCTCGACTCGATGTTCAAGAAGGCATCCCCGAAGAAAAAGAAGAATGCCAAGACGGAAGATGATGGTGACTCTGATGCCAGCGAGGGAGGATGTAGTCATTGATTTATCTTGACACTGTACAGCACATTTGACTACCATCCACAGCGACACTTCCTCTCACAGAGTTCATCCCATGGTTCACATGCCTTGAGCAAATTCCAGATCGAACACGCGTTCCAGAAAACAGCGGCTGTCGACATCATTTTCGGCCGCTGGATCAGCACAAACATTACTAAAAACGATACGCAGAGCATTCTCTTGAAAGATGTCAGGATTTGAGCGAGGGAACAGCCGCGTGGCCGCTTTCGCACCGAGAATCCGGCGATATGACGGACTGGGTGATGAGTATGAGACTGGTCAAAAAGTAGTCACTCCACCAAATCCGTTCCGGCGACCTGGGACACATCCATTGTTGGATCTTGTGCGGCTCTGGGTGGAGAAATTTTTGCCTCCGTCCTGCTGATTCATCTCTTGAGCGTTACCCAAGTTGGACGGAGGTACCAGCAGTACGGAATAGTGCCGCGCTGCCATGCCACCAAACATTGAACACTTTTATGATTCGACGATTCTGGGCAGTTCCAGACAAGTCTCTGCTCACCGTCTCCGTTCTCGTCCTCGATCTGCATGTAACATGCCCTTTGGCTGTGGCCAATGTCATGTCATTTGTGCGGACCATTCATCAAAAACTCTCGAATCCAGGATGATACAAACCCGTCAAACGCTGATTTCAGACAGCCTCGTTGGTTCCCAATCAGTTCATCATCTCTCGCGGTGATTCAAGGCGAACTATGCAAGCTCCCGTCTGACTCTGAACACCAAGTGCAAGCTACGCTCTCCCCAGTCCATAGAAGATCAATGTCTTTGTGCCACACATCAAACCTTCCTTATCAAGTTGGATGCGCTGTCGTCAGGTTCCGATGCTTGCTGGGGCGAAGCCCCCTCGAGGTTGTTGACTTGATGATTGCCAAGAAATGGTTTGTGCAATTGTGTGACGTTTGAGCCACGGAGACCCTATATAGTCAAGCTGACGATGGAATTTCTTGATACTGCCTGGCATGATTTCCTCGTGTTTGCCATTTCTCTGTCTGACGCACCGAAACAAAGTTCTATACCGTCGACCACATCGCACATATCGACATCACCGAGAGTCCGTGTACGACGTTCCTGATTTTGCCGCACTGCCTCCTGCAGCCCCAATCTTCATTCCCCCGTCGCCACCTCCGCCAGAGCCAGATCTCCCTTTACCTCTTATACCCCTCCCCAGACCGGAGGAACCTCTCGAAACTCACCCCCTCGTACATTATCGACCAAGATCTCCACCGCTGATATCCGTTCAACCTCGCCAAGTTGTTCACCACCCTGAAATATCCCCATATCCAGAACCTATCGTCCTTCCCTACCCAGAACCCATTCTGTATCCAGAACTTATCCCCTACCGCGAACTACCCGCCGATTGCGTACATTTTCACCCCTACTTGCCCAGGATGGTTGGCCTTTATGGAAACTACATCCGACCAGAGGAACTTCGGGCGGCCGTTGAGGTGGCCCTTGATATGATCTTGAGGGAATTACGTGAGCCAGATTATTACAGAGATCGTGGCCTCCGACTCGGTGGGTTCAGAGGTATTGGTAGCCTGTCCGATGACAGAAGGCTGGGGGATGTGGAACTTGAGGAGTATGTTCGACGGTAAGAATACTTCAATGCCCACCCCTTTTCATCTCGCCAAGCTAATAAAGCTTTCAGAATGAATCTCGTCGTCCAAATCGCCAACAGCCATGTCACTCCGCGTATGATGCATGCTGAGATACACCCCAAGATCTCGGACAGTGGCGCCGACGCTGGCCGCTACCCAAGGGAATTCGAACGCCCGAGGAGACTTGAGGAGTTTTTTGTTATGGACTGTACGTCTCTGCTCACCATCCCCCAATATCATCTCCTCCTCCTTCCTCCCCATCGTCCTATACCTCCAAGCTAATCACTGGTCAATAGCAAGCACACTCGACCACATCCTCCAATCCTACGGTCTTCCCCGCGATGGTTACTCACGCGACAACCTCAGCCTCAACCTTGGACGGTCTACCCTCAGCGGCCTCTCCCTCGGGCGGCCCCTCGGATTAAACGACAGATTGAACGACACCGATCGAGTACGCGAACAGAAACTGAGAAATTTGTTTGAGTTTCTTGGTGTTGATATGAGAGACGGGTTGGGAAGCTTCGGGGTGGGATTGGGTGGAAGGGACTTGCTGGGCGCGGGTAGACTTGGGAATAGAGGACCTGGGCTCCTGAGGGCATTGGATAGGTATTGAGGAAAATTATGGGAGGAAGGACTGGTCGGAGATTTGAAGTTTGTTTTCGCTGTTGATAATGTTTAATTGGGCATTTTCTTAAGTCACGAGTAGAGAAAAGTTTCTCGCTTGGGTCTTCTTTCATTCATATCACGACTCTGTTATGCCTCTGGATCACAGTGTGGACTTAATGATAGTCACTCTGTATCTTACCGACGCTTTATCTCACATATAAAATGTGACTGATTCTCGTTCGCATCGCGACACAGAAGCATCAAAAGAACTTCCCTCAAGGTACAAGATGGACATGTCAATATCTATATATTCTGTCTTCTAGGACAAGCCTGGCATTCAACTACGCAAGGGCGACCGAGGCCACCTGAAACAATGAGGGTAATATGCAGTATGCTTGACCCTCAGTGTAGATATTTCGTCTGATGTGTTAGTTTGCTGTCATTCTTTCTGTCCTTGTCACTGCCACTCGCTCGATGATTCCTGAACCACAAGCAGAACAGTACCTCATTAGACTTCCTTGCTCTGCATATTGCTTGCCCTTTAATACGGTACTCCCTCAGCGCGGCAGCGAGAAGAAACTAGGGGGAGGAGGCACACACATCAGTTGGTTCTTCTGGACTTCGCACATGGGTTGCACATTCCCCGTCCGCCTCTTCTTGCTTTTATGTCCTCGCTTAAATTATGAATACTGAATGTTGGGCTCCCCAGTGTATAGACATGTTGTCGTGGAGTTGGATGAATTGGTCCATAATTTTGAGCTACTGAATAAACATGTTACATTTACGCTACCAAAGATAAGTCAACCAGCGGATATCCGTTGACTAAGGGAAAAGGAACATCTAGGTTAGTCTGGAAAGAGCAAGAAACCACTTTGGGCCATGGCATGCTATTTACGTAAAGAGCTTAGGTAGCCAATCACAAGTCGTTAATACCCCTGCACCTAATCGACACTCCGGGAGGGGGTTTACATTTTCACGGTTTCGTACCCATATTGGCGGGGGACCTCTGTTCTGGGTGGCCTCGCGTCACGGCGGCCCTCATGTCGGAGAAGCCTCAACAACAACCCTATCACGACCCCTATAGCTGGTGTTCTCGTGGGAAACAGCTGTATTCGGGTGTGTATGTACGTCTAAAGAGAGAAGAAGGAGCGGGGATGCTCGAGAACTAAGATACTGTGTGCCGCGTTAAGAGGTCACGTGACGACACAACACACCCTAACGCACCATTCCAGCTCCACCGTGACTCTCTATCCCGGCTCTGCAGATACTCCTAGGAGTACTAAGGTTCGTAGGATGTATCACGTACAGGTGAGAGTCGTCGCATCTGCGGTTGACATATTGGCGGTCTGCACGAGTTGGGAGTCTGGGTGAAATAAAGGCAGAAACCCAACTGCGCCAGACCCAGGCAATCTCAGCGGCGTTTTCCCCCACGATTTTGAGCCAGCAAACCAGTTATCATACTACCGACTCACAATCAGCGAAATTATGTCAAGAACAGACGGCACACAGTCGTGTTCACTCCAGCAACAATTCCCGACGTCCCACCACGATTCTAAATGTCTGTCGAAGCCATAGATTCGCTCCATCTCTGGCTTACCGCACAGCCTTCCGGGCTCGACCCCGAGGCTCCAGGATATCGACCTACATCTTCAATAGAGCAGACGATTGCGATTGGATGTGCTTCGGGCCTCGTTTTCCTAATTACATCCAATCCGATAATATATAACGAGTGTAGAATAAAAAGCTATGACATGATTGCCAATCAACTCCAGTAAATAGTTTTGGGCCTTCACGAACACTTCCGGTGGACAGACTTTATGCATATAGCACTACCCATGACAAATATCGACTTCCGCTCTTATGAATTCATGCAATTTTGTAGGTTCTATGCTACGTATTTTTAAATTGAATAAAGGAATACACTTCGCAAGGCTACGGGCTTGCCCCCTTCTCATGAGCGACCAGAAATATTGTGCTGTGATAAGCTGTGATTCAATTGGCCCACGTAGTAATGAAATTGGCTGTGGCGGTGTGTCTGCCTAGGCGCAGCATGTCAGCTGGAACTTTGGAACGCATCAGCAGCAGCCAAGCTTAAGTCAAAGTGTTCTCCCATAGATTTAGGATTTGCATCTGCTCTCCCAAGCAAAATTAATGCTCTGACATGATGATTTCAACACTAGCGCTGAGGCCCGGCACGTGAGTTCCATCCAACCTTTGTTTTGGGGCGAGGCTCGGCTGAATTTGTCGCTCCGACTTATAGTAACGACCTGTGGGCATGTGCAGCCGCCAAGTTAAGCAACGAAGACAGAAGGAACATCAACTTTAGCTGTCCAGACAAACTCAACATCTTGTCAGACCTTCTCACGCTTACTGAAACGTCGAGGCGAGAGTGTGTTAATAAAAGATGGCGATATACCCGAAAGAGTGGAGAGACAATTGTATTCATAGACTTGTTTGGCAAGGTTGTCAAATGTGTCGATCTCTTCAAGCAGGTTGGGGATGCCGCTCTTCAGTATGACCCAGTCCATACTGCACTTCCCTGGGCTGGCGTCCGATTTCTTCTACAGGTCTGTGGCATCAAAACATAGAAAACATTGCTAAGATGTACCCAGATTGCGGTCAATGACTACACGAAATTTGCCTTTCTAGTCGATGGCGCAGCTTCAATATCTGAAATCATCTGTCGCTGTGCCATTTTTGAACACGTCTGCCTGCAGTCTGCTTCGACCGCAACCGACGAGCTTAAACGAGCCTTGGTTCAGTTGTACGCGGCTATCATGATCTATCTCTCGAAAGCAAAGAGCTATTTCGATCAAAACTCTGCAAGTCAGTATAGATGTTTCAACTTCAGGTTTTCTGCTTACAGGAACGGATAGAGCGTATCATTAAAAGTGGACTCCTTGCAAGTTCAGACCTCGACCCGTACTTTGGCGCCATTGCCACTGCGCAGGAAACCGTTGATCGTTGTTTAGCTCTCGTTGGCGTGCAAGGTCAGTCTGGTTTTGATAGGGGAATCCTCGTAACAGTTCCTCTGGGCTGACCGAACTCAGATCAGGTCGAGAGACACACAGAGTTGAAGCGCCTTCTCGAGCATATTGATAGTCCACTAAGACGGCTGACCGAGGATTTTGGAAGCGTTAAAGACGACTTGGCCCAAGCAAGGACTGGGGTTGATGAACTGGTCTCCTTTCACAGCGGTACAGATCTGCTGTTAACCTTTTCCGTTTTCAAAGATTTTTTTGCTGACGGTATCGTTCCTCAGATGAAAGCCTTCAGAAGATCTATAAATGGCTCTCGCCACTTGCCGGGGAATTCGAAAAAAAACAACAGGACACTTTTAGCCTCAAGGGCCGACAAGATAGGCTAGGATACTGGCTGCTCGGGACGACTGAATTCAAGAAGTGGATGAGTAGCACAGGAGAAATTTTGTGGTGTTGTGGAGAACGTATGACAGCTAACCTGACTAGCTCTGCTTGTTGACAGGAAACCCGCTAACTAAGGCATAGCTGGTATCGGCAAGACTGTGCTCGCGTAATGCACCATCCCTACATCAGCACTGGCTCTACAGAAACTAATTTGGCGAGTTTAGTTCGTTCGTTATTGATTCTTTACAGAGAAATCGGGAGAACCTTGACATTGGAATTGCATACATATACTGTAACTATAAGGATGTATCGAAACAGACACCGGTTAATCTGGTTGCAAATCTACTGCACCAGCTTGTCCTTCAGAAACCAATTCTACAACGAGAATTGACAGCCTTGCATAAAGGTCACAGCCGAACCAATACACGACCAACACAGGGCGAATGCACAAAACTGGCTCAAGCTGCAGCAGATTGCTTCTCTAAAGTCTGTATCGTCATCGATGCCTTGGATGAATGCCCAGAAGCCGACCAAGCCAGGCAGAGCTTACTGGAAGAAATCGGAAAGTTGAAACGCGTGAGTGTCTTAATCACCTCTCGGAATATACCAATTGAGAGTGAGCTGCGAAATGCTACTCGTCTGGATGTGCGAGCCGATGATTCAGATATAAAAAAATATCTTGAAGAGCGCATGTCAAGATCAAATCGAATAAAAAGGTTCGCTGAAAAGGATGCAACCTTATGTGAAGTTATCAAACATACTATCCTTGGAAAGGCTAAAGGGATGTGAGTTTGTCTTGTACCCGCATATATCTTTGGCAGGTATCCAAATGCCCACTAACGCAATTTGTAAAGGTTTCTACTGGCTTTCCTGTATCTGGAGTCGTTAATAAGCAAGACCAATTCACGTAGCCTTAAAGAGGCTCTAAATTCTTTGCCAGAAGGATTGGATGCAACATACGATGGAGCTATGGAGAGAATCAGGGCCCAGAGCTCCGACGAGTTTGAGCTAGCTAGAAAGGTTTTATACTGGATCAGCTATTCCTACAGACCGTTGGCAGTAAGGGAAATCCAAAACGCGCTAGCGATTAGGCCTGGTGACCATAACCTGGATGAAGATGGCTTTCCAGATGAAGAGATATTACTCTCTGTTTGCGCTGGCTTAGTCACTATTCAACGGGAAAGCCAGACAATCATTTTGGTACATCATACAGCCGAAGAATACTTCAAGCGCCAAGGCCTCAAACATTTCCCACACGCCCAGGCAGACATAGCGACCATTTGTTTGACGTACCTATCGTTCGATATCTTTAAGGAAGGTCCTTGCGCCAGTGACGAGGAGTTAGAGAAGCGACTCCAAACGTACCCATTCCTTAAATATGCAGCTATGTATTGGGGAAATCACTTCAGCCAGGATCTCGCAGAAAGCACGAAAGACTTAGTGCTAGGTTTTCTCGAGGAAGATTCGAAAGTCTCCTGCTCTATTCAAATCATCCATCAGGACATCCGCAAGCCACCTGGTGAGCAAAACCAGAGACACAAACGATTCAAAGACAGTCAACACTCGCTGCATGCTGTTCACAGATTATGGCTGGCTGCTTATTTTGGCTTGAGGGATATTATTTCAGTGATGTTAGAGAAGAAGGTAAATGTCTTGATGAAGACTGGCTATGGAGAGACGGCATTGCATCCTGCTGCCCGTTGCGGGAACGACGCCGTTCTACAGCTATTGCTCGGAGCTGGGGCTGACGTCAACGCAATAAATGAATCTAGAGATTCTCCACTATTAATTGCGACCGGACGGGGAGCCCGAGTAGTTGTGGTACAGATACTGCTAGAGATGGGGGCTGACGTCGTAGCGAAGGATCATAATGGAGTGACTGCGCTGCACCTTGCGGCCGAGGACGGGGACGGGGTGGTCGCCAAGCTACTGCTAGAGAAAGGGGCCAATATCGCAGTAAAGGATGAAGATGGGACAACAGCGCTGCACCTTGCAGCCGAGAACGGGCACGAAGCAGTGGTCCAGCTACTATTAAGGCAGAGTAGTGTCGATCTAGAGTCGAAAGATAAAGTTGGCTGGACTGCTTTATTTTTTGCTGCAGAGAATGGTCATGAGATAGTTATCCAGCTACTGCTCAAGAAAGGGGCCAATATCGCAGTAAAGGATAAAGATGGGACAACAGCACTGCACCTTGCAGCCGAGAACGGGCACGAAGCAGTGGTCCAGCTACTATTAAGGCAGAGTAGTATTGATCTAGAGTCGAAAGATAATGATGGCTGGACTGCTTTATTATTTGCTGCACAGAAAGGTCATGAGATAGTTATCCAGCTACTGCTCGATAAAGGGGCAGATATAGGGGCAAGGAATAACGATAGAGCGACAGCATTACACTGTGCAGCTAGCTGGGGGCACGAGGCAGTGGTCCGGCTACTATTAAGGCAGAATAGTATCGATCTAGAGTCGAAAGATAAAGTTGGCTGGACTGCTTTATTATTTGCTGCAGAGAATGGTCATGAGATAGTTATCGAGCTACTGCTCGAGAAAGGGGCCAATATCGCAGTAAAGGATAAAGATGGGACAACAGCGCTGCACCTTGCAGCCGAGAACGGGCACGAAGCAACAGTTCGACTATTGCTAGAGCAAGAGGGTATTAATCCAGAGTCGAAAGGCAAAGATGGACGGACGCCGCTATCGTGGGCGGCCTTCAACGGGCACAAAGAGGTGGTCCGGCTATTTCTAGAGCGCAAGGTGAATATTGATGCTAAAGATAATACTAGAGCGAGGGTGCTACACTCGACGACTAGGAGAGGGCATGAGGCGGTAGTCCGGCTGTTGCTTGAGAAAGGGGCGGATATGTAGCGAAGGCTGACGAGTTGGACGATGAGGAAAAGGACGACGAGGAAGAGGATGATGAGGAAGATTTCTAGAGTAGCTTAGATGTTCCTTTTCCCTTAGTCAACGGATATCCGCTGGTTGAATTATCTTTGGTAGCGTAAATGTAACATGTTTATTCAGTAATTTTAATCTTCTCAAAATCATGAACCAATTCATCCAACTCCACAACAACATGCCTATACACTGCCGCCCCAAGTTCGTGCGAACCCAAGTCAACATCTTCGCCAAAGTCACACCCAAGGCACTTCCGAACTATCTTCGCATGTCGAGGCCCAAGTATCGAACCCACAAGCCTGCTGTATTGATCCGCTTTGTCACATTCATTTTGGGGCTGAAGTTTTGGTCTGTTGCCCAAGCGAGAGAATGGGACCTGATATGCGAGCTCTAGGAAAATAATGCCCAAACGGAAAAGATAACGATTTCGAATTTGTATAGTGTTCTGGGCAACGGGTCGTATTTCGGACACATCCATGTTTTGGGTACAGGTGGGGCCGACTTTGACTTTCAAAAACGGCTGTGGAATCTTCTCTTGATCCACATCGGTGCAAGCAGCGCTGTTAGGTCTTAAGCCGAAGAACTCGATATCCTTGCCGTCCCAAGATTCGGTAAGAAGAGGAGTGGTGTGGAATTGAAGCACAAACAAGGCGAGGTGTCTTGCCAAACGGAGACATTCAAATACCGGTACTTGCTCCGTACGATCCCTCTCACCTATGCCCTTCACCCAGTCTTGAAGTGAGCAAGAAATTTCTGTGGCTTTCCTCTGGCTCTCAAAGTAAAGTTCATGAATCACGGGAGACCTTTCTAAGTGCCCAAAACAAGCTTTTGTACTATTTTCCGTCCCTTGGCCTCCAGAGATGTGAGAGATATGCGTGCAGAGATTGTGTGCGGTGCAGAAGTTTGGCCCAGGTCTCGACGACCTTGGTAGTCGTGGTGGTCCCATGACTTGCGTTTCTGAATTTGAGGACGCAGTACTTGTTGAACTCGACTGGCAGCCAAGGCAGGTTCCTCGCCCGTAAGTTGAAGAAGCTGAGAGTGACGAGGATGTTAGAGCTGCCGCATTTTCCACCCTGGGTCTTTTTTGCAGACTCGTGCATGTACAAGGATTTGATGCACGCTTTAGACTAGTCCCAAGTTGAGAGAAGACTTCCATTACGTCTCGTCTTTCCGTAGAAGCTTGATTTGGGTCCGACACACTTTCAAATATTGACCTCACCGCAAGCCACATGGTTTGGTGGCACCGGGCGGGATCTTCTGTTTTCCTGGACAAACCAATGCAAAAACGCACATCTGAGTTCTCCTGTAATTCTTCGCGCTGATCACATACAGGTCTCTCTACTTGTAGATGGGCTTGATGCTCCTCATGAACATAACATGCCAACTGCAAGGCTTCAACGAGATGAAGTGTGGCTTCCTGGACCCTTTGGCAGTGCTTAATAGCTTGCACAGATTTGGTCAACTGGGACTCTGAGATTGTGGGACGTAGAAGCTTGAGAGTTTGATCCGAGAGCGCTGTGAAGTCTTGATTCAAGTCTCGAACTTGTGGAAGGGAATCCTCAATATTGGACTGGGAGAAACAAAATTTGATCTTCCCCTTCAGTCGAGTTCGCCAGGCTTTCTTGGAAATAACGCCTGTCTAAATAAGTAGAGTTAGAATTCCAGACACTGGTTTCAGCCTGCTTATGGACTCACTGACTGCCAAAGACCAAAATCTTCGGTCTTTTTGTGTATTATACAGAGTTCATCCTCAATAGCTCGAATAACCTCAACGCATGCTTCTGCCGAACCCCGTAATTGCTGCTCCAATTGATTCTTTAAGGCATCCTCTGACAATTTCTCGTGTTCTAGAAGCTCTAACATTTGGTTCGCTATCTCGTGACCAGTGAGAGGGACAAGTAGAAGCTGGCACTGGGAGCGAAAAATTGTCTTTTGGGCCAGCAGTCGCCTTTGAAATCGAGAAAGTTCTCGAGCATAATCATTGAATCGTTGCAATGGATCAAGTACGACATCAAAATGTTCAAGGGCGGATACTAGAAGGGGAAGCACCCCAAGAACGAGACCGACTTCAGCGCCAGACATCTTAATAGTTGAAGTTGTGCTGTGAAGCAACCGCAAATGTTGGCAGGCTGGATTCCCACAATTTTATAGCTCAGCGAAGTTGAATCAGCCAGACAGATGCGAGTAAGCCTGCGAGAATGCCTGCATATTTGGACTCGAACTGTGGCGTGCATGCATATGTTGCCCGCAATATTTAGTTCTCCCGAGCCCTGCACATCGCCCGAGGCAGACTGGCCTGCAAGCAACCATCTCTCAACTCCCCCCTCAAGCCAAATATCTTGGATCTAGACAGCTCTACTGCAAAATCAACTCCCAGGTCGTACGTTTTCAGTCACATCCTGCCCAATTTCAGCATGAAAAGACATGATCGCCCGTACGGCTGCACGTTTGTAAACTGCAATAAGACTTTCGGTTCTAAAAATGACTGGAAAAGACACGAAAATTCCTAGCATTTTCACCTCGAAACCTGGCGCTGTGATGAAGAACGTCCAGAAGGAGGCCCGTGTGCGAGAGCATTCTATCGAAGACAAGTATTTCAAGAACACTTGGTAAATGCACACCAAAAGGAGGACGAGCATATCAAGTCTGCACTTAACAATTGTCGGATCGGTCGTAACTGCCAATCCCGCTTTTGGTGCGGTTTCTGTAATAAGCTTGTTGAGCTGAAGAGGAGGGGAGTTGACGCCTGGCACGAGCGCTTCGATCACATTGATGACCACTTCATGGGACGGCACAGTCTGCCAAAACAAAGCATCCAAGATTGGGTCCCCTTGGATAGTGACAAGCCGAAGCGTGATGTGGGGAGTCCTCACTCCTGTGGATCTCCAGGTGAAAAAGGATTTACTGAATCGGCTTCTTCGTCGACTGCTGTATCTCCAATATCCAAGTCGGCCGGGCCCAGCAGCCCATCTGGCATGAACAAAGCAAGCCACCCGTTGCCAGGGCAGAATGCAAATGCTGAATACCCGACTCCCGTTTCCACAGCTGGAAAATCCGCTATTCCATCAAAGATTCCGAATTTTTGGCATCACGACTTCGAAGAATCAGCCTCGGGAGCACCACGGCCGGAAGAGCTTGCGCAACTTGACGGAGATCTCGAGTCAACTGTCCCAACGGATCCAACGGAGCGCACCAAAAGTACTTGGGGAAACTCTAGCTTAAGTAAGTGGGCTGATCTTTATTTGCAGATATGTGAGTGCTTACACACTTCTCTAGAGTCATTCACTACAATTGATTCGAAACCAGGCGCAGCACTTAAGCTGAAAAGTCTTTCTGGAACCGCCCACAAACAGAAGTTACTTCCTATATCTTCTAACAAGACCAATATTCCGGTTGAGAAAGGGAATGCTTCTAGTAGCGGCATACCAGTACCAGCACTTGCTTCACTTGTTGCTAAGGGACACGAGGAAGGCTTCTTGTTGGGTGTTTATCACAAATGCTCCTCAATTCTCGCAAAAGCCGTGGCGATAATATTGAAACTGAAACCGAAAACAGAGATTCTCGATAAGAAGTCTGCAAGTATGCTAAGATCTAGCTCGGATCTTTTCTTCCTGTGGGGAGAAAACTTCCAGCCAGCAGACCTTGACTTCATAATGGAGTGGTCATGTGATTTGAAAGATGCCATCATACAGTATGTCATGGACATATCCGAAGCATTAATTAAAAGTAAGTTGTTCTTTCGAAAAACAAAAATCGAGTAGAGCTCTGTACTGAGAAAAGCAGGCAGTTTTTTTCAATTCTTGTCTGGTGGTATGCCTCCAATACAAGAGAAAGTAGAAGAACTTGTCGATTTCATTCGTCTCGGAGTAGGCTGGGACCTGGGTGTGGGAAATATACATCAAGAGGAGGAGCAGGAGGAAGAAGAAGAAGAAGAAGAAGAAGAAGATGATGATGTTGATGATAGCGGTGATGACGAAAGTTCTAGTAACGATGAAGAAGTGTATGATGATGCAGAGTGGGAGGATGAATCCGAAGATGAAGCTCTCAATTTTGCAAAAGATATTGACAATAGCGTGCGATGCTTGATGGACTTGATTCCATCTATGGAAAAAGTCAAAGCCTCCAGGGGAAGGAAAGATTGGAATCATCTAACGGGCACGAAATAGGAGTTATGGAGTTATGGACAGATACACTGCTCAGGCGGCGGAAGACGAATGTGCTGTCCATAGTTATACTGTGTATTTCAAAAAATGGTAGAAAGCTCTGAGTCTCTGCAAGCTGGAGGACTGGTAATAGTGACCCTTAACTGCATAGGTGCTGGCCATGCCGGTCATAGGAGCTTTGGATTGTGAGAGATGCCAGCTGCTAATGCTTGGCCAAAGGACTAAGCGAGTGTTGGTTGAGAACTACTGGTATTTGGATAAATTTAACTCGGGATCGTGAAGGGAATATATTGCAATAGGAAGTAGGAAGGTCATTGCGCAAGTGGAACGGGAACAACCAGCTTGCTTCTTCTACTCGGATATTCACACCGCTCGACGTTAAGAAGTGAATAAAGATAGTAACACTTTCCTTTCTATGCTTCTAGTAAGATGGAGGGAGAGGGATGCAGGAGAGAGACGCTAACGATAATGATAAAACGGGCATGACGAACGAGTAGAAGCGCCAAGATACAATTCTAGCTTCGAAGAAGAGAAAAGATATACTAGGACGTCTGTGGGAATATCTATACCGCTCTAATATATAGGATATAGTAGGCTTGTTACGAATGCGTGCCTAAGATGTGGGAATTCAACCGTTCAAAGGAAGGTTAACAGAACCCAAGAGTCGTTTTAAGTTTTAACAAAGACAGAATTCGTGCTTTCTTATTTCAGTCACTTCTCCCGTTTCAATCTGTAAATGCAAGTAGCAGTGATGCTCATTCTTAGACGACGATAAAACGGGCATAAAATTCGTAAAGGAGAGACAGGATACAAACCAAGCAAGAAGCAATATGGAGAAATATGTGGGCAAGTGCCCTCCTGGATACTTCTGCCATCTGCCTGGCCGCAATGTGCAGAAATCAGTCAACAAACAGTGACCTCGTGTCTTTAATATCGGCGTAAGGCTAGGTAACCAAAGGGAGGAGATGCTTGTTGCTATCATTATTATGCGACAAGGAGAGAGGGAGTGACAACAACAAGTTCTCGTCCGGACAAAGCTCCTAACGCTGTAGAGTAGGTGATGTTCACGAGGAGCGGGCGGGTTGTCTCTCTCCTTCTTGGATGTACCCCTGCTCTGCTCTGCTCCGTCGGGTTATAAGGCTCAATTGGCCATGGGTGGGTTGGCGCGGGCCAGGTAATATGTGGGATGGCGGCGACGGAGGTGGAGGGACAGGTGGAGTTAGTTGTTCTTAGAAGGTGGAATTAATTGCTTATCCGGGAGAATTAAGTACTACTAGTATTATACTAACTAGCATGACTCTGTGTTTTACGTTATAGACTCACAGGGTAGTGAATTTGCGTTAATTCCGGTTATGGTCGATGCTGGATTCGTGCAGATGGTTCCTAACACAGGGACTTTATTCTATGACTTGACTGTGCCTAGTACTGCGGTAGAGGAGAAGACCCACTATATAAAAGAGAATGAGATTCCGATCGTGAGTGGAATGTTATGACGATCTGGCATTTGGACTGGCATAGACGAAATGTTGAGAAAGGTCGGTATTAGTGAGATCTGGAAGAAAGACTGCTTGCCTAGATATTTGTAGGACTGCTTATTCAACGTATAGGATCCAGTCTGCAAATTGTGCAAACTTGCCACTGCTCATGAAAAAGAGGGTGGAACCTGTCCTTTCATTGTCCCTATGACAACATGGAAGGGATTGATAGTGAAAGAGTTTTATCCGGGCGTACGACAGGACGGCGTAGCGAGATGAGCCTCACTTTGTAGCCAGGAGTGCCAATATAAGAGGTTATGGAGGGGAGTGAAAGCTGCCGAAGTCATGCGTATGTGACGTGAGCTGCGTGAGAGACTTCCCGTCTAGAGATGAAAGGTCTGTGTTTCGATGTCGGATTCGTGCAGCCGGATCCCGGGCACGGTGATAAAATCATCGGAATTGGCACACTTGTGCTTTCCTGATGGAAAAAGGGATGCCTGTCAATGGCTTCACTAGATAACAAAGGTAAGTGTGTTTAAAGTGAGAGAACAGAATATGGATGTCATGCCGAGAAGGGTTCCCGAGGTCATTCCGTTTTGACACTCCTTTCTTCATCTTGAAGCTGACCGCAACCTCGGTTATTGTATCATTGATTATTAGAACATGTAGAATTTTGATGGAGAGGAGGGAGAGGATCAAGGTATGCTTTTCGGCTTGTCATTGTCTAGCTTCATGCCTAATATAATCTTGACTTCGGGGCAGTACTCCATAATGTGGTCGACTTGTTTTTGGTCGTCCCAGATCTATTTCTGTCAGCAAAACTCTTCTATCCAATAACCCCTCTTCCAGAAAGGGGATTTTAGGAAGGGAGCGAGAAAATAGCATACCTGCTCATGATGTACCCCCAACCAGCCCACATGATACCCCAACGGCTTCTCATCCCACACACTCTCTACACTAAACGTCTTACTAACCGTCGCATTCGGCATCTTCTTCCCCTCAAGCCTGTTCAACCTGTCACTCAACCATAAATCCTCCAGCGCTCCATCACCTATCTTCCTCTTCTCTTTCCCCAGAACCTTCACAATCTTCGACACCTTCCGCAAACTCAATCCCCCGTTCCCGCCATGTTGTGCAGTCTTTGACCAAGGCGCGCCAATCCAATCCCATTCTAGAAAGTCATTCAAAGTTGTGGGAGCGTTGGCGCAAAATATGGAATCGGGCTGGAAGACCAACAGGTGTTCGGCCGGGGAGAGAATATCGCGGTAGAGTTTGATATCGGTGAACATTTGGGAAATCGATTCGCGGTTCTTGAGGGTGTAGTTTGAGGGGAGGTCAAGGATTTGTAGTTTTCCGGAGGCTTCGAGACGTGGAATTAGAGGGGATGATCGTAAAGAGTGGATCGCGGAGGGCGAGCCCATGAATTTGAAGGTCCACTCGGGCGGGATTATGGATGTCATATGCGCGTAGAGGGCGGGGAGGTGCTTGAGGGGTCGGGTTTCGACGAGGAAGGCTACTTTTTTGGGGTCGTAGGGGGAGGGGGGAGGAGGTGGGGGCGGGCAGGCTGGTGGGGGAGGTGGTGCTGGACATTCTGCGGCTGGAGTTGGTTCGGGACAGGTTGTTGCGGATTCGTCGGGTATCTGTGCAGAGTCGGTGTGGTTGGAGTAAGAGAGCGTATTCCAGCAGCTGGCTCGAAGTCAGTACTGTATAGCCTTTCCCGCAGGAAGCTGGAAGTCCCTACACATAGTAGAACGCTAGAAAGCACACCAGTATCAACACCGCCGCGTTTGTGCTGAGATTTCTCCTGCCCTGCAACGGCCATGAACCCATTGCTGGGTTTGTCATCCCCCACGAAGGGAGGAAAGGGGCCGGAAACGGAGGAAGAGACAGGTGTCGTATTTTAGGAGACCTCTAAGCCTCTGAAAAAAAGGAAAGGAAACACTGTTCGGGGGGGTGGGGATGGACAGAAGAATGAGAGTGAAGGAAGGTAGAAGATGAAGAGTTGGAAAAGAGACGTGCTGCCATGCGGCTCCGATAATATAGCGTTGATCATCCCATCCCTTGTTAGTTGAGGGACGGGCAGGTTGAAAAATAGTCCGGCTCGCCCATGCATATCGATTTTTGAGGTTAGTACGCGCGGAGCCAGGCATTAGGGCCGATCTGATTCAGCTGAAACATGCCAAAGTGTGGCCCTATTGGGTGAGAAAATCAACATTCCTACCTCGGATTTCTTTCCATCGAGGGAGCGATTTTGCACTGAAGAGAGAAATTTCGTGCGTGAGGTCTTGATGTATCGTTCTCGTAAGTAACACAGAGCCGTTGAGCTTCTGTGTCTCCTGACGGCGTGTTGAAGTGCAGATGCAGCAGACGAAAAGGCTTACATTGAAGCAAACAGGGGGGGCGCCAGCGTCGTCATCCATTGCCAGGGCGCAAGGTATTCGCCCCCAAGCGGATTCGAAATGATGAGCTTGGGTGGCGATCGAGTTGTTCATGGGAAGAGGAAGAATGCCGTAGTTCTGGCTCATCCTGGACGAGACTCCAAAACTAAGACAAACGCAGCCTCAAATGCAACTCCAAAATTAAGCTTTGTCCATCGAAAAAGCTTGTTTCACGTGATGCTGCTGCGAGCCTGCGAGAGGGGTCACTGTGGTGTTGGTGTGGTTTCCCCAGCAACGCGCCAAGCTCGAACCTCGAAAGCAAACATCAACTGCGAACCGACCAGACCAGTTCAAGCTCCCTCACCAACTCACGACAACCCCGCCACGACGACACGCCAAAGACCAGACAAGCAAGATGTCTGTCTCCGAGGATCTCATCGATTTCGAGATCATCGAAAATCAGAAAGAAAATATCCAATCACTACCAGGAGGGCGATCAGCACGCGCCCTGGCCAGCATGTTTTCCCCCTCTCCTCTGCACAAGCTCATGACCCCAACACCATCCGACACGAAGAATCTCAACGATGCGCTCAGGCAAGAGTATGAGGCGGAATTGCTCAATATCTCCGAATCAGACGATCCTCTGGATATCTACGATCGCTATGTTCGATGGACACTCGACGCGTATCCTTCCGCACAAGCAACACCGGCTTCACAACTGCAGCCGCTTCTCGAGCGCGCAACAAAGGCCTTCCTCACATCCGCACAATACAAAAATGATCCAAGATACCTGAAAATGTGGATTCAATTCATTCGCTTCGTCTCTGATACCCCTCGCGAAACTTTTGCTTTCCTGGCTCGTCAAAACATTGGAGAGGGATTGGCATTATTCTACGAAGAGTTTGCTGCATGGCTCGAGGGTGCAGGACGATGGATACAGGCGGAAGAAGTCTACAAGATGGGAATTGAGAGGGAGGCACGACCAACTCCTCGATTGCTTCGAAAGTTCAGTGAGTTTCAGCAGCGATTCTCGCAGCGGCCAGAGGATAACAACGAGCCCTCCTCACCTGCACTGCCAACAGTCCGACCTGCACTTGCTGCAAAAATTGATCCATATGCTGCAGCTGCGCCTAGAGATCCACAAGCTCCGCGGCCCAATTCTGGTGTTGGCGGAACAGCGACTAAGAGTGGACGACAAAAACTCACCATCTTCTCAGATGCAGATAGTGCGGCACCGGCGGTGACAGCTGGTCGTGATACTAAAGGGTGGGAAAATATCGGATCATTGGCAGACCGAAAGAAGGAAAATGTGATCGAGCCGAAGCCCTGGGTAGGAGAGACTTTGAAAGCTGGAGGAAAGAAGAGTAGTACGAAAATCCCGGTCTTCAAGGATGAGGTATGTCAAATTTTTACTTCCCCTTTTCATGCAAATATTGATGATCACAGGACTAATGATTGTCGGTTACGGCGTTTTGTATTCAGTCTCTACCTCATTTCGATTATCCTCAAGTTACAGACCCTGCGCAACAACAAGTGACTGTGAATCAAAAAGGCCGGATTGAACGTATTTTTGTGAACCTTGAAGCCATATACCATACCCCGGAGATTGTTGGGAGCGAGTTGAGTTTGGAAGAATTGAGGGCTGGCCAACGAGGCTGGCTCTCGAAAGTTTGGCAACCTGAGATTCCTCCGAAGCAAAATCATGAAGACTCTCTGGACCCTCAGGATGGGACTGGGGAGTCTAATGTCAATACTGATGAGATTGTCCGAGAAGTCTCGGAGAAACTCGTAATTGCTCGTGATCCTGTTACGTTAGATGAGAATGGAGCAGCAAAAGAGGCTGGTCGTGAGGGCAGAGGTCGGAGAATGAAGATCAAAGAAGTCAATGAAACACAAATCAGTAGGTTACGGATTAATAGGCATGGAATTGATGCTGACAGATTTCTAGTCAAAGCAAAACTATCATCGCCATCGGGACCAAAGATGACGAAAAGGAAAAAGGAACAAACGATGACGCTGCATACTCGGGCAGCTACTGATGACATCTATGATCTTTTCAATCAGCCACTGAAGCCTGCTGAGGAGGAGGAGGAAGAAGAAGAAGAAAGCGACGACGACGATGATATGACGGACGGGGACTTCACGAGCGGCGGTGAGAGTACTGGAACAGGAAGACTCATCACAACTAGTGAAGCCGGAGATGATGAGACTTCTGATGTGAAGAGTGTTAGCGAATGGTCCGAATTCACAGCGAGGAAACATATTCCTAACGTCGACGATGAGGACGAAGATACTCGCGCTTCACGATTTACTGAAGCCGACGACGAAGATTTGGCACGGATCAAAGTTGAAATTCCTGAGGTGGATGAAGAGCTTGTCACTCCTTCGCCAGATCTCCCTCATACTACGAGAACTGTGTTTGTTCCGATACCTCCGGAAGATTACGAGGCGCCAACACGCCCGTATAGAGATCCAGCACAAGTATCTCAGAATCGTCTTCCTTTTATGACACCAATTGCGGAAAAGACGGAGTCATCTCTTGGCATGAATACAGTCAGAGAGGAAAAGGACTATTTGAACTTGACGACACCGAGCAAGGAGAATGGATCGAGGAAACCACCGGTACGGCCAATTGAAGGGCTCGATAGCAGCCCATTCAAAGACATTATCAGCGACTCAACTCCTGTTGAGAAGATTGCTCAACCACTACTCGGCAAGAAGTTGAAGACCAACACAACAGCAGCCATTGCAGCAAAAGTTCAATCAAGCGGCGGACCTCTGGCGAAGGAGATTGCAACCAAAGGCCCTATCATCAAAGACGCCCAATGCAATCCTGTTGATGACTACACTCGAGACATGATCTTTGCAGGTCTGCAACCTCCTCTCTCTACCTATGAAGGATTCTTCGAGCACAAGGAGAACAGGAGCCGCTCAGCAGAGATCAAGAAGTACGCCAAAGCAGCATCCAAACTCCACAAAAACGCAAGCGAAAAGACAATGACGAACATGGCCATGCCACCTATCTTGAAATTTCCCGGCACAGATAAACAATATATATTAAAGCGGGAGCTCGGTGCAGGCGCCTTCGCCCCCGTCTTCCTCATCGAGAACGTCGCCTCCGAAGACGACTCACTCGACGAGAACAACCCCGTGATGGGTAAAGGCGCCTTCGACGCCCACGGTCGCAAATCCCTCGAAGCCCTGAAGATGGAAGACCCGCCTACGGCTTGGGAATTCTACATCATGCGGCAAGCCAAGCGGCGTCTCGGCGTCTCCCGAGCCGCGGAGAGTATTATCAATGTGTACGAAATGCACCTTTATGCCGATGAGTGCTACCTGATTGAGGAATTTCGCGACCAGGGGACGCTGCTGGATGTCATTAATATCGCGAGAGCGGAACCGACGACGACTGGACCTGGGGTGATGGATGAGGTGTTGGTCATGTTCTTTGCTGTTGAACTTTTACGAACCATTGAAACTTTACACTCTAAAGGCATCATGCACGGCGATCTCAAAGCAGACAACTGCTTAGTCCGTCTCGACCTTATCCCGGATTCCGATGTCTGGAGCCCTAAGTATAGGAAAGACGGCACAGGAGGCTGGTCGAAAAAGGGCATAAGTCTGATTGACTTTGGTCGGGGCATCGATATGAAGGTTTTCAGACCCGATGTCCAGTTCATTGCGGATTGGAAAACTGGTCCTGCGGACTGCGCGGAGATGAGGGAGTGCAGGCCGTGGACTTGGCAGATTGATTACCATGGCCTCGCTGGTATCGTACACAGCATGTTGTTTGGGAAGTATATCGATACGGTGGCCGTCGCGGGTGGGGTTGGGGTTGCGGCGCAGAAGAAGTGGAAACTTAAAGAGGGATTCAAGCGGTATTGGCAGACGGAGATATGGGCCGAGTGTTTTGAGCTTTTGCTCAATCCGACGCAGTATACTGAGGCGGAGGAGGGGGGAAAGATGCCGGTACTGAAGGGGATGAAGGGTGTTAGGGAGAGGATGGAAACTTGGCTCGAGGGCAATGGGGAGAGAGGGGTGGGGCTGCAGGGGAACTTGAGGAAACTCGAGATGCAGATCGAGGCACGGAGACGGAAGTGAGAGGAGGCGCAAGAGACTATGCATGACTTGGAGTTCATTGTTCCAGCATTCTTGGGTCCTTTTGGGAGGTGTTGAGGTGTATTATTGTTCGCATTGTTACATACTTTCTTGATACCAGTCTCGTATAATGAAATGTTCAAACTGCCATTGATTCACCGTTGATTTTCGATTGACCTGACGTTCAGGGTCATGTTGGTGGGTATAAATTAAGTCGTTGCTCGCGAAATTCTAATCTCCATCGTAAGTCTTGTTGGGATAATCGTGCCAGGTGACTGGACTTCTTGATCTTCGTGGTTGGAAGCATATTTCCGCTCGCACTCTGAAAGGGGTCGGGAAGTGAGAGAGTGTGTGGTAGGTGGGGTAGTGCTCTCGAGGAGATGTTGAGGACGTGTGCGGAGGTGGTGGGATGAGGGACGGTGGGGAAGGCGTGACAACTGGGGAGGGGTTGACAGCAAATATCACCCCGCCATTCTCTAAAGACTAATGAGTCTTGTAAACCTACTCGGGTTGTTTCGAAGAAAGGAGATCCGTGATCGGGACAAGACAGGGGGCTCGGTTGGGGGATGAATGCGTCCATCCATGTTGGAGTCAGGACGGAATAAAAGAGTAAACCGCGCAAGGCAAAAGGCTAATTCTTTAAATGAAAGCTCGTGAAACAACACGAGTTCCCGCACACGTACACGCCGAAGTATAAGCTAAAACGCTGGCTTAATAAGGTGCCTCTAAAGAGAGAGCTCTGGGGAGAGCTCACTTCGCATGGTCAGGAGGCAGTCCTACTCCTTGCGTCCTCGAGCGCCAGCGAGCAGCAAGCATCTCGTCAAACCCACTATATTATAGTAAATCAGGGCCACCCTTTCAGCTTGAATCAGCAATCAGCGTTCCCGTCATAAATATCCATCGAAAAACGCCACCTTCGAAGCCCGATCTTCCTTGCCAACACCTTGCCCGCGCCTTGCCCGGTTACCCACGTGCAGAGTAAGAATACGTCTCAGCCTCAAAAAAAGTGACATAAGAGAAAAAGTAGATGGCAATATTCGCAAATGTGATTAGCATGATGTACATCTGAAACCTAGGACGAGAAACCAAAAACTTTGGCCAAGCAATCCAAAGCAACTAATGACTCGGCGGCTTTATGTCCACAGGCGTCCTCGACTGCATCTCGACCGGCGCCTCCCTTCCATCCAACTCACCCATCCCCACATCCGCCCTATTATCCAACTCATAAACTTGGACCTGATCCGTATAGCCGCTCTTTGGTTCATACGCCCCGGCCAACCCTGAAGTCGGGATAGCCACAGCACGGCCATTCCTTCTGCTTTTCCGTCGTGCAAGAATAAACACTATTAAAGCCCCCAGCGCAATCGCCACAAGAGTGACCCCAATCCCAATCCCAGCCTTAGCGCCTGTAGAGAGACCCGAAGATGGCAGTGGGGTAGCAGAAGGCGATGTGGATCCAGTACCCGAGGATGTAGAGCTTGAGGTGTCTGATGATGTGGAGGTTGTGGCGGTTACTTGCGCAATATTATATCCGTTGATCTGTATGCCCCAAGCCGGACTTGCTGTCGTATAGGAAGTGGTGAAGGTATGCCAGGTTGACGATGCGTCTCGCGCTGCGTAGGTTATAACCTGGTTCGCAGGTATCACGGATGAACATTGTCCAGTATTCCCCAAAGATTTGATTGCGACGAAGGTGTAGCCCCTAGCGAAAATACTGTTAGCGACGGTGACTTGGGGGTAAGTGTTCAGTTGCTGACATACGGAGGACAACATGCTACGAAAGTGCTGGATTGATTCTCGACTTCTGTTGACACTGTTGAATACCCCACGGGACAAGTGATTGGGCCCAGGCTGACTCGTGTGAGAGAATTGACGCCTAGTCTGTCTTGATTCCACCAGCTGGTCACGGCTGGTGGCACACAATGAACGTTGCTGTCAACAGTGAGGCCATAGCCTGGGTCCCACGCTGCGAGGGTACTTGGAACAACCGACCAGAACAGGGTTTCGCAGCCTTTGGAGGAGGGGAATGTTGACGCGATTGGGGCCCATGAGGTCACGATCCCTTCATGCGTCTCTGGCGAGTAGTTGGACATTGCTTATCTATTGTCTTCCGGCGGGGAGCGGAGACTTAGTTGGGATAAAGTGCGATCTCAGAAGACCCGCGAGTACTGGAAGATTTACCTCTGCACTTCAGCAGCCGTAGCTAGTGCTCACACTGCGGCACAGCCTTCCATTTTCATGCCAATACTGGGTAATATCAAATCACAGTCAGCCGCCAAGGCGCCGTTGCGTCCTTGAAGAATTGCTCGGGCCCCAGAATAGAGTGTTTGGGGGCCAGAGCCCCTGCTGGAGGTATCATATTCGGTGTCAGAACAAATCAACAGCTCCGGAATTAACACTCCACTGCGATCCCCGACGATTTGGTATCCTTGCCCAGTGAGACTAACCCCTAGCGTGATTCATAAACAAGGGATCCTGTATGCTTCATTATTATGCTTACCAAACTTTTCCTCAATCCTACGCGAGAAAAGTCTCCAGGGATATTCCCGTAGGCGACCCAAAACTGGGATAAATCATGCCGGCAACTCCCGCAGCTACTTCTGCTCGTTCTTCCACTTATCATGTGCCACCTGCTGCGCCTTCCATTCCTTCTCCAGCTTCTTCTTCCGGCTCTTAGTCACATCATCTCCGCCTTTCAACTTCGTCGGCACCCCATTTGCATCCCACTCAGCAAACTCATCCGTCTTGAACATATCTTGCGGCTGGACCTTAGCCTTCTCCGCTACTGCAGCCTTCTTCGTCGCCTCTTCCGCCAAGCGCTGCTCCTTCGCCAAGCGCTTCTCCTCCGCCGCGCGTTCTTTAGCCGCGCGCGCCGCCTTCATGTTGGCATCCAGGGGTCGGACTAGCGCCGGTAGTGGCGCGTCCCGGTCCTCGAGGTAAATGTCCTGGTCCCATAGTACAGTGTCGCGCAGTAAGTCGCAGAGGCGGAGGAGCTCAGATTCAATGCCGCCGGATTGAGCGAGCGCAGTCTTGACTTGGGATTGAAATGTCTGGTACGCGGTTACGTATGACTGGTTCTCGGGGGTGGGAGTGGCTGGTGGGGGCTGCAAGGCCAGCTTCTCTAGCACCTCGGGCACAACGGCCTTAGCACGGGCTTGCCGGCGGACCTCGTCGCGTATCTGGCTGAGGCGGTAGATGACGGGTTGTGCGGGCGTGGGGATAGAGACGCCTTCCCAGCCGATGGTGGTAGTATTTGGGCTGGCGCTGCCGTTGAGGCCGAAGATAGTGATGATACGCGTGATCCAGTGGGCGATAGAGAGGAGAGAGGTGGTGTCGGTGGTAGGGTCATTGGAGATGGCCGAATTGGCTTCGGTAACGAGGTTAGAGATGGTTTGCATGACCATCGGGGTGTTGAAGGAGTCGCAGAGTGCGTCATCGGTTTCCTTCTTGGCCTTTTCAAGGGCAATAGAAAGGGGGTTAGAGGGCGAGGGTTGGTTGTTAGCGGTGTCGTTGGAGGACAGTTCGATATCGATGGCCTTGAGGAAGAAATTTGTGATCTTTTCTTCCCAGCCTTTGGCGATGTTGACGAGGCCCTCGGTGATTTCAACGCCGTCCTTCCATGAGCCAAGCAGCAGTACGATGCGTACCATCCTCGATGTCCACGCGGGTGTGCCATCCTCGCCCAGTGTCAAGGCCTCGCGAATCGAGGTGAAATTTTTTAGGCTCTTGCTCATCTTTTGGCCCCGGATGGACAAGTGCCCCATATGAAGGAAATACCTGCGAAGAGGATCAGCCGTTGATCATAGAATCAAAGCTGTCTTGTCCTTACCTAACCCAGGTATGATTACTTGCAGCGCAGCCTTCCTCGCCAAGCCAATACGCCTCGCTCTGTGCTAATTCATTACTGCACAAGGAGTGATACGTCAGGATTCTATCATAACAAGGGATATGTAGTTCTTACTCATGATGTGGAAACATGAGATCCACACCTAGAAATCATCATTAATTTCAGCTTTCAGAATAAAAAGAGAAGAATTCGAACCTCCACTGTTTCAAGTTAGCGCTCTGAACTATACATCTTCTCGCAGGCATTTGGTTCACCTGTGAATATCCATAGTCGGCCCTAGGACTGCTGACGCCATGACACTGCACTTGTTTTGTTAGAGGTTCCCAATGTTTAACTATCTCAAGAGAAATACCTCGATATGCCAACCCGGCCTTGATGGCCCCCATCTTTTGGACGGCCATGCGGGCTCGCCAGGCATACTCTTCTTGATGAGCGCAAAGTCATTTTTCGAGCGCTTGTCGCTGCGTTTCTTGGACAAGCCGCCCTCGCCATCGGTAAGCAGCTCTTGATTGCCACGATTCTGGGGTTCGAGCCGGCAGTACGCGTTACCAACCTTTTCAAAAGAATCAATGTCAAAGTAGACATTGCCTTCTTCGGTCTCATAGGCAAAGCCCTTTTCGATGATCTTTTCCACGAATGTGTTGATTTGTGGGACAAACTCGGTGACGCGAGTGATTTCGTCTGGAACGAGAACGTTGAGGGCGTGCATGTCTTCGAAAAATAACTTCTCGTAGTGCTGCGTTAATTGAACAAATATGGCTTTTGTAGTTAGCATAATCGTGTGGATGGCTCAAACAGGGGTTACTTGCTGTGATCTGTGGCGTCAATTTGGGAGCCGTAGAGATCGTCCAAATATGACAGTAGCACATCGTCGACCTTTGCATACAGTTCATCTTGTGGTGTGGATCTGGAAGCGCTGAATGTTTCGAGCCCGTCAGCAGCAGCTTGAGCAGTGCGTAAGTGCATTTTGATCTTGGCCTCCGTTTCGCCAGGGGCCGTTGTGCCATCAAGAGATTTTTCCTCGATCACATTTTTGTACGCAAGCTCGGAAGCCGTTTTGAAATCGCCGGTTGTGGTGCGCACAGGCACAAGGCCCAGATTCTTGATAACATAAGCCTTCCATGCAGCGTGGGTCTCGTGGAATGTGGCATCGTCAAATGTGGGATGTTTCGATTTGAATTGAGCGAGTAGGTACCGTTGCCTGGCACGGATTATGATTTTGTCATCCACGTCGGTCTACATTCTTTCGCGTTAGCTCAAATGATGCTGCACAAGATACGAATGCAGTTTGAAGAGATCAGAGAGGAGCCTTACAATGTTCATTACAAATTTGACCTCGAAGGCAAAGTAATCTTTCAAAATGCGCCTAATTATATCGGTTGAGACATAATTCCGGGCATGGCCTACGAGCAGTCAACACCTTATCCTGCATATATGAACTGGGAGTCATTTCTCCTTACCAAGATGTGAAATATCGTATACCGTGGGGCCGCATGCATACCAAGTGATCTTCTTTCCTTCCGGGTCAAGTGGAACAAACTCATTCTTCCTCCGAGTCAGCGAATTGTAAATCTGTAGTGGTGGCAGCTCAACGCCCGGCAGCTTCTTGGGCTGCTCCCAGGCAGGTTGTCTCGAGGCCATGGAGTGTCGTTCGCGTCGAAGATGAACGGATCGAGAAAGGGAAACAGGAAGTGATAGGTATAGGTTCGCTGGAGATGCTGGGAATGTCGTAGTAAACGAGCCTTTTAAAGAGGACGGACGGTGGTACTGGAGTAGTGTTCGACGCAGGGCGAGTCGGCGCAAAGAGAGCATGTGCATGCGCGTGCACATCGACAGAAAGCGAAGTGGAAGTTAAAATAGACAGAACTGGAACTTGGAGTACGTGGGTGGACGCGTTAACGATTCGAATTCAACCAATGAGTCATCAATATCACGTGTGAAGATCTTAGTGCCTCAGGCATTCGGCGGTGCCACAAGGCGAGTCACAAGCTTAATTTAACTAACGTTCATTCATCAACTCCATCTTGCAAATTTCCGTCATCCTTCTAGGTTCGATTTCCTCTTCGATACTGTATAGCCACCGTAATACCCGTTCTTACAGCACAGAGCACAATCAGCATGGTAGAAACTCAGTCCCCGCGGAATTACAAGAAGTCTCGTTCAAAAGTCATTTTGACTGCTTTGAAGACCCTCCCTGCCTTCAAACGCACCCGAGCTCAATGTCACTATCGTCATGAAACCGTCGCGAATGACCTCCAATGACGCAATGGTCATCTCGCAAAGTTTCTACATCTACCTAAAGAAATTATCCGCCCTTCAGCAAGACCGCTGAAGAAGAGCCCGTCGAACCTCAAGACGTGTTGGAGATGCGACGCGTCAAATATCCCACAATCGGAATACGAGGCTCACCGAGCGGGTTACAACCTCACGAAATGTGAGGGATGCCTCAAGTCAAAGACCTCGAAGTCGCAAATCAAGGCTCACGAAGTGGCATGCAATTTCATACGATGTTCAAGATGCCGTAAGAGAACCGTTAAATGGGAATACGAAGTTCACAAAACGGAATGCAACTTCAAGACCTATTTTATATGCAATAAAGCTAAGATCTCGATATCGGAATATGAAAGCTCATGATGCTGGCTGTAACTTCAAGCAATGTCCTAGATTCACGACAAGAAGATCCCAAAGCAGGAAAATGAGGGCTCATTACGCGATTTGTAACTTTAAATAATGTTCCGGATGCAACAAGGCAAGGATTCCAAAGCCAAAATTTCACTAATCGTTCGGCGCTTCCCACCTAGTTTCTCGCTTAGCACGCTCACGAGGTGAGGGCCACCCATACGCAAAGCACAGTAATCCGCAAATCTGATATAAGGCAAATCGGGCAGATTTGCACTATAATAAAGCCTTAATTTTTTAGTCTTAAGATTTACTAAGCTAGATAGTCTATATATTGTAATTAATTCCTCTTACTTAAATACTATTTTAATATACTGCGTTGTGAGAATTCAAGTGCAATTTTTAGTGAGGTGCTACCAAAATCTCAGATTTGCGTATTGCTGTGCTCTGCGTATTGGTGGCCCTCACCTAGTGAGTGTGCTAAGCGAGAAACTAGGTGGGAAGCGCCGAACGATTGCAGGACGCAAAGAGTCACCGGAAAACTTGCGAATAGCCCTCGTCGAAAATGTTGGTCCAGAGTCTCCAGACTTCACAAGGACGAAATCTCATATCTGGAACAAAGCGTATTGCACAGTATGCCAGAAAAAGATTCATTTAGATCAGTTTGCTGTGCATGTCATGATTTGTTAATGTTTTCGGTCCCAAGTCAGCATGCTTAAAGTGCCTACTTCATTTGCCTTGGATGAGCACCAATGTCGAGCGTCCAGTCCTAAGCGTGGCGCTTACCTCTGAGGGGGCAACGCTTTCTATGAACGTGGACCCTAACCGAGATTCAAGTTCGAGGTTATCCAAAGTGAGCAATCGCAGCTCAAGTTATAACGGGGCGAGTGAAGCTCGCCAGAAGCTTCCCAGTGCCAAAACCACTTTTACGCAAACATCTTTCATGCAAAAGATCACGAGTGAGTGAATGGGAACCCCTACACAACAATAATCCCGGATTTCGAAGACAGCGGCAGCTTCTCAAGGACATGAAAGAGGAGGCTTTATCCCAGGTAGCAATTACAAATGCATATAGGAGTGGGTGTCGGCTGCCTGCAATTCAGGAATGCAGGCATGGCCACAGCCTCTTGGAAGGTTGGCGCTGGTTGAAGCCCATTGTTCTGAACAGACCTGGCTGACTAGCCTCAAAGAACCAGTCAAGGTCTTCCGGAAGATCATGGAAGTCAGCTGAGTCGTCAAAGAAAAAGGTCTTAGCTCCATTGTGAGGAGGGACCGAAGGATTGCCTTGAATCCTATAGGAATGTTGTATATGATTTCGTACGCCAAAGGAATTGTTGGTCTCGTATTGGCCCTCAACTGGGCACCGGTCTTCTTCTCGAATCGGCTAATGAGCTGGAATCTGAGGCGAAGGTTCCTCTGACGGCGGCGATTCAGGTGTCCTTGATGAGGTATGCGGTTCACGTTGGGCTGATGGATGATCCCACGTGATCCCGCCTTTGATGGATTTCCACTGGAACAAATCCACTTTTCGGGTGGGAATGCGATAGAGATGGATGACTGCCACGTGAAACAGAATTGGACTTCCAGCTATTGCGAGTCAGTGATAGCACCGTGCCGTTGCTTATTATAATCCCACGCAGAGGTGGGGGTGGGACTTTGGGGACTCCTGCAATTTTGGAAGTAAAGCGCGATTTTAGTCCCTGGAAAAGGGGTAGCCGTGATAGCTTACCAAGTATAATTCGAAGATCTAGAGCAGACAGGAAGCGTTTCTCAACTTTGTTGCCACCCAGGTCAATCAGCCTTGAAAACGATGCTTTGCTGAACTGCTCAACTCTGTTTGGGAGGGTCGCGAACCTCAATCTCGACCGCAACGCTCCCACCAATATCAACGATCCCAGCACGACCACGCCCATCTACCACTTGCTCATCAAGACTTAGTACGCCCCTAACATCCCTCCCTTCCTCAAACTCCATAACCGCCTCTAACGATTCATTTTCCGACCCAACGAAAGTTCCGAAATGTATGGCGACGGTATTCTTGGACAATACATCGTTGTGTATATCAATCGCATCAACCGGCGATGCGTGCAACGCAGAAGGAATGTCGTTGTGGGATAGCCTTAGCCCAAGATGTGAGATGAAACCGAGAGTTCCGCCTCTCCATATCGGCACAAAGGACAGGTCAAATGGTCCGAATTTCTCGCCGATGTCTTTGAAAATGGGGCAGACAGCTTCAGACTTTGCTGTTCTCCGATATCCCGTGTCCCCAGCATGATATATCACGCCGTTTCTTCTCATTTTCGACGTCTCGGCTTCGTCCTTCGAGACAAGAAGTTGTTCGATGACCCAGCCACACCAGAGAGTAGTCCCCTGGTCTAGGGCAGCTCGTCCAGAATTGTGCTGGGCCGGAACAGAGGTGAAGCGTAATAGCACATCTTCACTTGCAGTCTCCGATGTTGTATGTCCAAAGTCCTGCACGCTGTATTCCCGTTTCTCCCACCAATCAAGTTCGTGTATCCTATCTCTGGGTATACCAAGAGTAGAGACCCAGTTCTTGTTTCCCTGAGGAACGAAATACCTCGCTTTTGGGAACTTTTTGAAGATCGCCTCAATAGTTGACAAGTCCAAGTGGTCATAATGGTTGTGTGATATTACAACCGCATCGCAACCTACAACGTGTCAGAAAGAACGCTCAAGGCACGTATAATTTCCTACCAGGTATATCAGTCACCTGACAAGGGGGTGGTCTCAACCTCTCCGGCCCCGTATACTGTGTAGGCCCCGCTCGCAACGAGAAAATCGGGTCATAAACCACCCAAAAGCTCTTCTTCTTTCCATCTCCACCTTCCGTCCCTTCCAAAGGAAGCTCAGTAATCACGCCTGCATGGCCGAGTGTCGTGCCAACCACACAGCGATCCCTCCTGAGACCCCGCTTCTTCAGGTCTGACTCTCCCCAGTCTGGCACAACGACGCTCACGTCTTTTGTTTCCGGGTGTTTCTTCTTGAGATCATCGTACCAGCCAAGTGGAAACTTGGTTTGCATAAGCTCGGCCCAAGTTGGCTTCTCCGCCGAGGGCCAAGGATTCTTGAACGCCGTTCCTGTATCGTTGGCCCAGTGCGACGGCCGGTTCTTGCTCTCAGCTGCCGTGGACCAGGACGCTATTGTGGCCAACATCTTGAATGCGGTATTCAATACCCAGGTTAGTGGGTTCATTTGCATGGTTCATGATGTTGGATGGTTGGTATGTCGGATGTTGAAGCTGGCGATCCCGATGACGTCGCCATTCGAAGCGATGAAGATCCTCAGGTACAATAGTCAGAAGTGAACCAAGTACCAGGTTGATGAATTACCAGGTGTAATTCACATTACATAGGAACAGAGGAGATTTCTAGAATTGTGATTATTTCTAGAAGAGAAGCGTGAAGCTCGTAGAAGCTTGGGAGCGAGGCTAAATACTCCTTAGCGCCATAATTAAGCGAAATGTGTGCCTAAGGCTCAAGCGAATTTTCCCCCTCACAGCGATAGTCAAATTCACGTGATTTTCTCGCCAAGGTACCCCTGAAATTTGTTTATGACCCCTAAATACTCATATTCTCTATCTTACTCTTTTCCTTGCTAAAGTGTTCCACTTATGCTTCTATTAGAATCCGAATAAAATGCGTTGCGGTTGGTGCACTATGACCCAAAGGCACGACTCCTGCTTCACCTCGCTTCTTCTTGTCATGCACGTCGGGCGCTGTTTCCCCGCCTTACAACCTTTACAGACCAGGAGCTTTTATCCGGCGCAGAGAAGTTTACAGATCAATCTCTCGGCCTTAATATTGATTACTAAGAAGATCTTCTTCGACTTACAAGAGTAAGAGTAGACAACTCCGAGAGCCCAGAACCCATGCCGTCTCCATGTTCGAACTGGCGGCTGAAAGGCGGCAGGTTTTCCGAGAACGACCCGAGATGACCGATTTGTATTCAGGAGAAACGTAAGAGAGTATGTGTGGAGAGATCGCCGTGTACAGAGTATCGGCATTATGGTTATAGTGCTGAGAAGTGTCAGGGCTGGAGCGATGAGGGGATCAAGGGCGGTGTTGGGAAGCGGGACCCTAAGTGAAAGATGACGCTCGACGAAAAGATAGCGACATCTACTTTGTGTACAATGGCTAATACCTTTTCTTCCAACTTGGTCCACTCGATTACGCGTCTGGGCTTGAAGTCGAAGAGGGAAGGTGACGCCACACGTTCAGCAACCATCGATCCAAAAACTATCGCACCTTGCAACTCAATATACTCTTCTGAATCTTCTACATTTCCAGACTTAAAGTCAAAAGCAATGAGATTGATAGAGGTATTGCCAGGCACCGACCCCGATATGATATCCTGCAAACTCCACCTTCGGAAGCTCCAAGATTCATCGCCACCCTACACAGCCCTTTCTTATATGTGGGGTGATTCAAGATTCACGAAGTAAATTTCTATCAACGGAGAAATGCTCAAAGTAGGGGGAAACCTGTGGCAGTGGCTTTGGCAGACGCGGGAGCTAAGCAACCTTGAGTTGTTTGGATCGACGCAAGCTGTATTAACCAAGACAGTATAATGGAGAAGAATTATCAGCTGCCTGAATCATCTCATCCCCTTCGGCCCTGCTTCGCACCTTACTGTGTCTGACGCCCCCTTTGCGGAGTCGCACAATTTCAGCGGTTCTTCACGAGTGTGGCGATATCTGGATTGACTAGCTCAAGAACTAGACTTGACTGAGATGCGATTCCCTTGACACACAAATGCAGTATAGACTTGATCCAGGCCTCACGTGCTCCTAACCAAATCCCTCAATATCTCTCCCTTCATCCTTTGTCCTGAAATGCTTGCGTGTGTCTCATCCTCCACTCTAAGATGCGCTCTACCACCTAACCGTGCGGCTATTTGCACACCATGATTGAGTGGAACGAAAGTATCGAGCTTCCCGTACCACAGCTGAACGGGTAGGTCGGGACGAATATCCTCTATTCGAAAACCCCAGTCCGTGCACATCACCCTGCCATCCTGTAGTGTCGCTTCAAACCCCTGCGCAAAGCTTTCCCGAGTTGATCGCAAATACAATCGGAGAATATCTTCATCCTTCATAACTTCAAGGTCTTTCACCTGAGCTGATCCCTCGGACTTTGACACACTCTGCTGCAGAAGCTGAAGACGCCTTTCGTCGGTCAGGTCTAAGCGTCCTGATGGCTCGCTTTGCAACCACCAGCGGATGAAAATGAGGGGACTGTAACGCCATCCCCATGTGAATCCAAGCCAGTGCCACCAATTCGCCCCTCTCATACCGATGTCAGGCGGCCCCAGCCCGCAGACGATCGAAACACACTTGAGTTTTGCATAAGGTAATGACATTGCACAAGCAAGTGCATATGGCCCACCTCCTGATATTCCCTGTCAATTACGCACCGTTAGTATTGAGTCTCAGACATTCCAAGGGATAACCTATTGCTCGTACCAATACCCCATACTCCTCCAGCTCGAGATGCTTTGCAAGGTATTCCAAGTCCTCCGGATGACCAAGGAGTGTTCGACCCGGGTGGGGTGAGCTCCAACCTATGCCAGGTCTGTCCGCAGCGATAATACGCGCACCTAATTTCAGGCCCAGTTCGTCCCATGCGGCAGCTTCGATGCGAGAGCCTGGAAGGCCATGTAGGTAAAAGATAGCCCGCCCCACCTTCGAACCATACTGTGCGTAACCGAGCTTTCGTCCATCTGGGAGGGTAATGGTGTCCGAACTGTCATTGTCCAAACGGAAACGGCACTTGGGAGACTCACTTGTAAGAGCGGCCGGAGTACCGGCTCTTGTAAAGCTGGTAAGTACTCGAAGAAAGTAAGCTGTCAAGTCCGAGATTAGAGACATAGCACATGTAAGAAGTGCTGAAATTATTGCATATGCGCGAGGCAAGCTATTCTGGTATATTGGGCATGAGTTCGTTTACCGACCGTTGAAGGAACTAAGTTGCCTGTCTGACTAATGCGGCACAGTCATAGTCTCGTAAAGCTCAACCAGGCTACAAACACATCCCAGCCAGAGGGAGGTTATGATTGGCTACCGGTGTCCGTGATTATCCGGCAACCAAAAATTTGCCATAATCTATGTACGAGATAAAATCAGCAAAAATTAATTTTGTTCTGATTCTTTACTGAGTGGATATAGCTCATTTTCTGCTTTCGGTGGGGCCTTGCTCCAATTGTGGCAGGGCCGCGAAAGTCTAACAGCCACCTTCAGGGCAATTTAGCTCGATTTTCAGCGCTCCCCTCTAAATACTTGACTTGTAATAATCCCGGGCCATCTTCCAAATGACTATACCAGGATTTGTTTTTCGGTAGTTGAACTCTAATCCTTCAATTTTCGTTCCACGTTCGGTTGGTACGCATGGCCGGCAGTCAGTTCACCTGGGCACCCTAATCATCTCATCATGTGATTTGCCTTCCCGTTTCTTAGCTATTTGCACTTGGTCCGAATTCATAACATTCATACAGCTTAAACAAGTCCCCAGAGGTTTTAAAATGGTCAGCATCCAAAAAAACAAAAAAAAAAAAAAGATTTGACTTTTCTTGAAAAATTAGAATAATTTTAGTACTTTTTAAGCTCATGTTATTTATTTACTCACGAGGAAAATAGAAAATCAAATATAACGTTTGAATCTTGTGTTTGAAACATGCTACATCATTAAAGTAGCCTGCCTCCCGGTTTTACCGTTTCGGATTGAACGACAGCGACATCTCCATTTCTTGGGTACAAAAGAGTACCATCAGACATAACGCAGCAAAGGGTCGCGCTATCCGAGTTGATCCAATCCCCAGGGAGGAAGTAATGCCGCTTGACATTCGTTGTCCTGGCCTTGATAGTACTAGTACTGCTTCGCCTGCGGCCGGCATTCGTGGACGTTGGCAGCCCCCAAGTGCATAGCCAGTAATTTTCGTCAAGAAAAACGAGTTTGTCGCCGGGAAGCAAGGAAAGAGGGATCTGCAGTCGTAAGTCGACCTCTACTCGTACGATGGCGCATCGCAATTTGCCATTGTCGGGGTCGTCAAAACCCAAGCTGCGAATTCGAGACGGGGGTAATGGCTTTGACGGGCACCAGCAAATGATGAAGCTTTTTTTGGGCGGCTGATAGACGAATAGAGACTTGTAGAAGAATTTGGGCCAAGTTAGCTGTTAAGATTGGGTTTTCAACAATTTCTCGTGCTTCCCAGGAATTAGTGATGGTAGAGCCGCTGAGCAATTCGTTCGTAGCCAAGTCTGACGGAGAGACACAGAAGGTGAGCAGATTTGTTTCTTCTAGGGATTGCCAGCCAAATATATGTACAGAATCGGGTCCAAAGCCCAGCAAGTGTTCGTCAGAGAAAGGATGGCACATCCACTTTAACGTAGACATTGCGTCAATAATTGCTGACTCTTTCGTTTCGACCGTAGGAATACTGACGACGCATAATTTTGTGGTCGTATACACGAACAACCGATCAGCTTTCGGGTGAAGTAATAGATCTTTGATCCCCCCTTTTCTGAAATTCTGACGGCAATAAAGATAACCATCACAGGGTCGATATTCCACAATTTGCCATTCTCGGTACTCCTCGTTATAGACTTGATCGTTATCTTCCCACTGAGATCGGAAAATGCAATAAGCCTTCCATCTCCACTCCAAGTGATTTGTTCAATAGACATGAGGCCCTTGGGTCGCTCCAGCTCTCCAATTAGGCCCCTGCCCACTTCACAGAGATTCAGGACACCTTCTTCGGTTCCATAGCAGTAAAGTGAGCCTGCTCTTTGTGCGCCAATGGCTGTCACGGTATCAATCTTTCCAAACCAATGCTCTGGGTTTGTGGAACCGGTGACAAAACTCCCAGAAATGCTCGCACTGTCGCTGTTGCGTTCGATGATTTCTGAGTTATCTGCTAGACGAACGAGGGTGTTGGGCTCCCACACATTCCCGTAAGTCCCTCGAACATCGTACAGCCGTCTTGAGTCTTTACTGAATTTTAGGTCAAGAATAGGATCCTGGGAGGACAATCGGTACATTAGAGAAAAATCTACTGTACTATAGACCTTAAGTGTGCCGGGCTTTTAGGCAGGGGTCTTATAAGAGGTGTTAATTTCACTAAGTAATATTAGTAGTATATAAACATGAAATTGCATTAAGAATATAAATAATATTAAGTTCCTATATCCAGGGACTTCCCTTAAACAAATTAAGGTTAGAAGCCTTTGAGGCTTTCAGGTATATAAGAATGAATATGCCTTGTTCTTGATGTATTTAAAAACCTTCATATCCGAGAAGAGCTTCGAGTCTGGCAAGGCTGCTACTATTCCCGAAATTGGTAGGTATTATAACCTAGCGATATTGTTACCGGATACTAAGAGGATGACTCTCTATATCATGAATGGTTATAAATTCCATAACCTTTAGGAGGAATCCCAGGAATTTTTGGGTCTCTCGGAGGCCGTATTGCCCATAATTAAATAACCCCTTTTCCGGAGTACTGGTTTCATGGAATTATCCTTTAAATGACAAAAGTTCGAGTAACATACTTGAGCATGTGCAAAAGCCCACGAACTGAAAATGATGGCCTGGAATGCGGGCGTGTAGATGGGAGTTGATCTTGACATATTCTCGAAATACTTATATAGTAATCTCTTTTGCCTACTATATCCCCTTCTGTGATCTGGTAGGTACAGGCAGCATCCTTCGTAACCTTGTCGTAATCTCAACATAATCGTCTTCATTTTCTGGTGTAATGATGCCTTGTCGAATGGCAAAGTCAATCATGACGAGCGCACAATTCGGCTTGAACTCTTGCCACAACATGGCTTGCTCGACTTCTTCCATACTAAGAAGGTAGAACTCCGACACTTCATCGTCTTGTGGTTTGGGTATCATTGTGGGGGGCAACTCGATATCGAATATGTATAAGACGTTTGGATGAATCAGGCCAGTATTGGTGTTCTTCGTAACATAGCTGATGGTACCAGTGGCACGAGCATTCTTTCTGACAAAATCAGCTGGTAGTGATGCCTCTTCGTCAGCCTCGGCAATAATACACTCAAGTGGTGAATGCTCAGCCTTTATTCCCCCAGCAACAGTGGTGTCAAGTTTGTTTGGGTAGGTGAACAAATGGGTGCTTCGGCGACCGACCCATATCTTCAGGCCTGCAGACGTGTTCACGTATGCGTTCATATGGGCGCCCTGAGTAGCGATCCCGAACAATGGCGCTGCAAACCGCTCTAAGCATATAAAGTAGTTCGCGCCGATAATTTTGTACATCTCGCTATGGTCGCCATGTAGGATAGGGAAAATATCGGCATCTATGGCTACATCGATTGTGTTCTGAAAGGCGTTGGTGCATGCTTTCGCTGTATTTTCGCTGTCGGATGTCCTAAGTAGTTGCACTGTGCGAGTTCCATGGTCGATGGCGAAGTCAGAGGACCATGGCATGTTTGAGACTGTGGACGCGAGCATGAAGCCGTGTGGACGAGGATCATCAGGAAGGAGGAGCTTGTAGAGCGTGTCATAGTCGGAATGGGGAAACTGACAAGGAATATATCAGCACTCAGATGAATGGGATGGGGAAGAGGTATTGGGGGGGTGAAATATACTTATCAACTGCATTGATCAGGTCGAGGAACCCTCTCGGCTTCCTAGATTCATAGCCCATTGTGAGCTGATAGTCCACTTTTACCAACACTTTAGGAACGGAGTAACGCGTCCGGCGCGGGTACAGAAGTGAATTGCGTGTTGGACGTCGAACGGATGCTAGGGAGTGAGGATATGAAATAGCATACTGATCGGCAACCCCAGTCGAAGCCGAGCCTCCCCCACTCTTGTCGATATTTTGCGTTTCGACCCATGGCCGGCCAGTCTACATGGCCTTCTTGCGCTTTGTATCCTCTGCTGATCGGCGGCAGCAGATCGCTGGTGTCTATTGTCGTCAATGCTGCGGAACGAAAGCCATAGGAAGCACTAGTGGCATCTGGCTTATTTGGGTTGAGGCGAGTGGTCGTTCAGATTAATTGTAGCCTTGATCTTATTTCGGCGGAACTGCAGAGATAACAATTGGGGCGACAAAGACTTAACAAATGTACGCGGTGCTATCTGTGGATCTGCAGCTTCTTCGGAGTCTTTAGAGCCAAGATTGAGTTGGTGGAGCTGCTGTAGACGTCATAGGGGCGTGTGGGGTATTTTGCGCTGCCTGTGCGCAATCTCGGCGAGGAACATCCTTGATATTGCAGAGACACTACAGGGGCATGTTGTGGCTGAGCAGCTCCCTAGTAAAACGCGGTCTAAGATCTCCACTTTAGCATACGCGCTGTAAGCACCAACAATCCGGGATTTTTGAGCCTTTACTCCGTAATACCGTTATTAGAGCTCTTTTATTACAAGCGGTGGCATATAGAAAAGAAGAAGAAGACATTAATCAGCTTGCTAATAAGGCAAAACTCGTCGGGGAGCGAGGCCGACTTCTCTACCTCATTTTCTAGTGGTATAACAAAGTAGTTGTGTTTAAGCGGGAAGTGTATGGTAGTTTCGTCATTTCTTTCTTATCAGTCAAAAATATGCATCGATTAGGTAGTTGAGGCGCAGGAAATTGGTGCAATTTCCACATATATCACTGCGATCTGTGCATACTCGTGTTAGTTTCGTGAAAGGGTCTCTGCAATATCGAGGAGCTAAGGCTATCCCTTTGTCCGGTGAGACATTGCCACATTAGCGGCCGCATATGAATATCTCTAATTCAGCCAGAACATAATCCGAATCAGGAATATTCATGTGCGGCCGCTAATGTGGCAATGTCTCATCGGACGAAGGGATAGAGGCATTTCAGATATTTAGCTGTCTATTAAAAGGGTTTCAGGTGAATTTAAGGTTTACTAGAAACTATATATTTATAATATAATATTTTAAATACTTTTTTTTATTTTAAAATACTATATTATAAGATTTTATTTTTGAAATCTTTATTTATAATTTTTGTTTTTTTATAAAAATTAAATTATAATATTTATATTATTAATTTAGCTATTTATTTACTAGTAAAATTTGAAATATATTAGAATAAATAAGCTATAATATTAATATAAAAGCTTTTAATTATTTTATTATTATTAATATTTTCTATATTTCCGGTAAGTCTATATTCTATATTTTTTAATAAAGATATTTAATATTAAACCGGCTAATAACTTTAGAATATTAGTATAATATATATTTGAAATATATTTAAATAATATTAGATTAATAACTATTTAGATTTTCTTAATTAGATTATAGTAAATACTAGAAAGTAATTTATTAATAAGAAGTTTATTTAGTTTATAAATATTATAAGAACTCAAATTAAGATTATTTCTATAAAAGTTTATAACTTTATTAAAATTATAAAATATTATTATAGCCTAATTTAATATATTTATTTTATTATTATAATCTGTAATATATATAGGGTCGCATGTAACTTAAGGGCATATAACGAACCTCGGATATTACGGGTATTAATTAGGGAGTTTGGTAGCCCTTTAATATTTCAACTAATTACTATTTATATTATATATATTAGGCTTATAAATCACTAATTATATATATGCTATTAGGGCCTCCTATTTAGAGAGGGCTTCCCTGGACCTTATAGAAGAGACAGAGATTAGTTCTATACTAAATTTAATACTATAGTTTCATAATATACTAATTTATTCTATTATCTTATTACCTATTAATAAATACCTTATAAGCTAATCTCTCTACCCTTAAAGGAGGTAGTTTAATAAGTAATTATATCTCGAAATCTGCGAAATATATGACTTCTTACTAAAGCTATTCCTATAGAGGAAGTTAAATAGATTAACCCCGATACGGGTAATAGTAAAGATTCGTCTAATACTTTTAATAGGGCTTTTTAGGAGCCTCCGAGAGCTAGTAATAATAATATAAATAATTCCGGTAATAATTAAGATACCGAGATTAATACCTGAATTATTACTACCCAAGCTATAGAATAGGGCTTATATACTAAAGTCGAAGTATTCTAATAAAAGCAAGAATTAATAGATATAATTAACTAATATATTCTATAGTTAGAGTAATATAAGAGTACCTTTAGGGATATCTTATGGTTTACTATATCTTATAGAAACTCTATTTATAAGTCTATCCTATTTTCCTCGGTAATTCCTACTAGGGAACTTCCTGAAATAGGGTTAGAACCTATTTTCTTTCCTAATATAATAAGCTTTGAGAGTAATCTTAATACTATCTATTAGGAGCTATTATATAATATCCTAAAAATGTATTTGGACCGAAAAAAGCTTTTTAAGGTCCGGATACCTAACTTATATTATAGAAAGTCTCTTAAAAAATAGAGAATATTTATATTTTTCTGGGAAATAGTCTTTAGGACCTAACCTTAAACTTATAATAGATACTTTTCTAGAGTTAACTCTATTATAAATACCTTTAGGAATAAACTTTATAATACCTGGGAGGCTATAATAAAGTAAAGCCTACTATTATATAAGGTTTATTAGGAGCGATTTAAGACCTATTTGGCTAATATATTTTAAGTACCTTAAACCCGTTAATAAGATACTTTTAAGGAACTCCGAGATCTTTACTAAAAGAATAGTAAGATAGTTATTAAATTATATATTCGGATAATTAGTCTCGAAGTTAACTAGGACCTATACCCTAAAAAGGACCGGATCCGGACTTTTAATACTACTTTATCTAACTATAAGACTCGTTAGATATTTATATCTATTCTCTTAGGAGATAAGGTAATATCTATTTCTGAGTAGCTTAAGAAAGCTTAGAAAGCAGAATATATTACTTATCCTAAATTAAGAAGAATAAAGACAGGAAAGTCTAGTAAGGGCAATTCTGCCCCTAAAGACCCTGACTTAGTGAATTCTAATTTATAAGGCTATTAAAAAAGGAAGAATAAGTTCTAAAGATTATATAAGAAACCCTTAGGTAATATTTTGGCTTCTTTAAGGCTTTAATAAAATACTAGTTCTATTTCAGATATGGTTTATTAGACTTATAAATAGAAAGAATACTTCTTAAAAAATATAAAGTATTCTAAATATACTAAATAGGCTCGGTAGAACTCTAATAAGGCCAAAACTATAGAAGAGTTAAGGTATCTATAAAAGCAGGTTAATACTATAGTTATAGAGAAGTATTCTAAAAGAGATCCTCCTAAGAAATAGGGAAAAGAGAAGGCTAAATTTTAAATATTAATAATTTTGGCTATAATAAAAAAGATATATTACTTTATATAACTATTTAAATAAGATTAATATAGCCAGAAATAGGTATTTTAAAGATATATAGTAGATTCGGTAATACCGGATTAGATTATTACTTCTTTAATAATAATTAGGTTTAAAGCCGGGACTTTATTACCTTAGCTAAATATAATTAAGAATTTATAACCTTTTATAGGAACTAATTTAAGGTCTATTAAGCCTATAATCTTGAGATATTTATTATAGATAATTATAGTAAGATATATTCTTTCAAGCTCTAGTTCTATAAATATAAGAATATTAGCTCTTATAGCCTTATTTTCGGTATAGAATTTTATAAAGTAATTCTTATATAATATATAGACTATATTAAAAAATAATAGATATATATATTTATATAACCTAATAATATTAAGATCCTAATACTAAAAGAATTTAGTAAGAAGCTTAACTAGTACCCTAAGCTAGTACCTTAAGTCTTATTCTTAATTAAAGGCAAATATAACTATCCTAGATAGTAGGCTTTATATATTTGTAATAATTACTAGGTCTCTATTTTATTATATAGTTCTAGTAATACTAAATAAGAGTTTTTAATATAGCAAATTAATACTTTCTAGAAAGAAGCCTTAAAAATACCTATCTATTTTCGGGATAATAAATATAAAGACTTCTTAGAGGTTTTTAATTCTAATAAAACTTTAGAACTTCCTAATTTTAGTAATATTAAATACTTTATTAATATAGATAGTATAGTCTCGTACGGGCCTTTATATAATTTATTAGAGACCTAACTAGAAGTATTATATCTATATTTATAGGATATGTTTTATAAATATTAGATAAGGCCTAGTAAAAGCCTAATAGAAGTACTTATTCTTTTTATTCCTAAAAAGAATAAAGAACTATACTTTTATATTAATTATTATAGATTTAACCAAGTTATAATTAAGAATTAGTATCTGCTTCCTCTTATTAATAAGACCCTTAACTAGTTCCGAGGAACCAAGATCTTTATAAAGCTAGATTTCAAGAATATATATTATTAGATAAGAATTTATAAAAAATATAAGTAAAAGATAGCTTTTAGAACCTATTATAGCTATTTTAAATATCTTATAATATCTTTTGGGCTAGCTAATATACTAGCCATATTTTAAGTATATATTAATACTATATTTATAGAATTCCTGAATTATTTTATAATTATTTATTTAGATAATATTTTTATTTATTCCCGAAATAAAAAGAAATATTATAATTATATTTACTAGATATTTACTAGGCTATATAAAAATAACCTATTTTATAAACTTAGTAAATATAAGTTTAATATTAAGGAAATTGAATTTTTAGACTTTTTTATTAGAATAGAAAGTATTTATACGAATTCTAAATAGGTCTATAATATTATTAAATAGCTAGAATTAGAATTATTTTATAATATCTAAATATTTCTTGGATTTACTAATTTCTATTATAGGTTTATTTACTATTATTTTTAGGTAATTATAGGCTTAATAAATCTCTTAAAAGAAATAAAAAAGGGCCGGAAATCCGGTTCCTTTATATAGATAGATAAAGCGGCTAAAAGCTTTAAAACTTTAAAAAAAGCTTTTA